TTGTTGTGACCCAAGTATAATGACCCTGGCACTTGGTCTTGTTGAACCATTTGCCTCAGCCCATCAATCCGGACTGTCCAGGTCCCTCTGTAGAGCCTTCCTACCCTTAAGCAGGTCAACATTCCCTCCTAACTCGGTGTTGTCTGCAAACTTACCAAGGAGGCACTCAAATGCCCTCATCCAGATTGTTGATAAAGACAGTAAAGACAACCATGTCTCTGAATACCTGTTTACAGCAGAAATATAAAAGCTCTTTCAGCCTATGCTGCTCACAGGAAAGAATGTCAGAAAACAAATACTACTTCGGTCTGGAAAACATGTTTAATATTAGTTGTTATTTTAGCTGACCTTTTATACACAGATACAAAGCGTGAAAAGCATTTTACATGTCCTTATCATCATGTGCTGAACACACAGTAGCTTCCCTCCTGGATTTCGCAAGCTGAAGTCTAAGCTCATCAACATAGCTGTCACACTTTCAAAACCAGTTTCGCCAAATACTTCTTAAATTCAAGAAAGAGAATTATGTTCACTACAACGCTAATGAAACCATGAGGAATATTACACACACAAGAATATCCTCTTTGCTGTGGACCTTTGCTTATCTCGTTGTCTGTGTGGACTTTCAGAAAATCCCCCTGTGAAGGGAAGAGTCAGAGCAAAGACTCCTTAACAAGAAGTAACTCAGGGTGGGAATTCTCACAAGTTAAAAACTCAAAGAAGAAACCAAGAGGCAGCTGTTTATCTGCTAGATGGTCTAAACACTGTTTCCATCATTTAGAAACGGTATTTAACAAAAGCTTTTGTTTCATCAAAAGCCTGATCTACCTTAGGATGCCCCCATGAATAGGGATCTTGTCCACAATCAAAACGAAGGACTTTGAAACTTCAAGTATGAAGAATACTTTTTTATTCTTATGTCTATTCGATGACAAGATATGTGAAAGTCACGGCTTGCTGTACCAGGACATTTATCACCAGATCCAATAAGATAAAATACAGGTTACATCACCTGCTCCTTCAAATGTAGCAGCAGCACTGTCAGAAACAGTGTAGACTTAATTAGGCTCCAAAAAAGTTTACTACGTGGGTAGCACATTAAAAGGTGAGTATCAGATATTCTACTAGTTATTTTTATTAGTATACTGTGCATCTTCTCTATTGCCTACCGCATGTTTTTAAATTACAGTTTAATGGGTCTGTGCTTTGCTAAAGGCCTCAGCAACACCAAGAAAAGCTGTTCTGTTCTGACGTGGTCTGACAGCCAGCCTCAAGAACAGGAAGAACACAAAAACCTTTTTTTCTTCCCCGATGCCATGCTCAGGCTCTGGGACCTAGATTCTCACTTTCTGGTCCGTATCCTTTCTTTATCCCAGGCTTATTCAGATAGAAATAATAAAAATATATCCAGAAAATCTACTTGCTCACTGCTTTAGAACTTTACCCAGATTTAACTCTTCAACAGGATTCTGGAAAACCGGGGTGGAAAGGTTTTTTTTTAGGTAAGCATTGTATCCCACTGCCTCCACCAGATAAGATCACACAAATTAGGCCTGGCACAAGCAGCTTCGCTACACGTTGTCTCCTTCATCACCCTTCTGTTTTTGTAACCACCACACCTTTGGGAAGTCCATCGCGTGCTCTTCACTGACGAGGGAGCTGCACTTCCTCTGTGAGTGAAGTCTGAGCTGCCACTATGGGTGCATAAACAGATAGGTGGGGTTTTACAAGAAAATGCTTGTTTTCTCAGTCTTCAGCACGCTGAAATCTAATCAGAGTTCACCATTTAGTCACTGATTATCCTTAAATCTGCCACTGATATTTCCTGCAGGTCTCTTTGCACACATTATAAGAAGGGATTCTGCTTGCATTTAGAGATACCAAAGGGATTTTAAGTTAAAATCAGTAATAACGAAAAAATAAAGTTTAGGGGTTTTTCCATGCGATGAACTGCTGAAACAAGTTAGGTCCTATAATGACTAAGAAATCTAGTTTTGAAGGTACCTCTCAAAAATTGTTAAGAGTAATTAAAAATAAGCTCAATTGCACATAATAAGTAATAAGTATAATACAAGTCTCTCAGAGGTTATGACCCAATTTACAGTTGGAAACAGAAAGTCAACAGATACTGTTACATGGCTTCCCCGAACACCATTACAGCTTTGATTTGAAGTTAATTATACAGTTAATCTAAGAATCACACCACCACATATAATACCTCAATTGACGTCACACCGTATTTGAGTTTCACAACAGTCAACAGTTTCAACGCAATCATCTTAAAGGAATATTTAAAAGCTTTAATTTGCACCGAAATGATTTCGTATTTTAACTGCAGTTCATATCACATAACTTCAACAATAAAACCTCAAGCCAGTCATGATGCCACTTGTGTCATTTGAGGGAATGCCTTTTAAATATTCTAATGAAAAAAAAGGGGGGTTTCCAGAAGCTGTAATGATTCACTCTAATTTTTCCTTCAGGAGCTCCTCTTTGTCTTGGGAGCTCCGAGTCACCAATTTATCTTTTTGGAACTTCTGTGTTAGTGTGGCAGCAAAACACAGGGCTCACCACAGCACTACAGCCATGGAGCTTGGATCCCAGAATCACAGAATGGTAGGGGTTGGAAGGGACCTTCAGAGATCATCCAGTCCAACCCCCCTCCCAAAGCAGGTTCAGCTACAGCAGGTTGCACAGGAACACATCCAGGCTGTTCTGAGTATCTCCAGAGAAGAAGACTCTACAGCCTCTCCGGGCAGCCTATTCCAGTGCTCTGGCACCCTCAAAGTAAGGAAGTTTTCCCTCATGTTGAGACAGAACTTACTGTGTTCCAGCTTCTGTCTGGTGCCCCTCGTCCTGTCACCAGGCACCACTGAGAAGAGCCTGACCCCGTCCTCTTGACACCTGCCCTTTAGATATTGATAAGCATTGATGAGACCCGTCTCAGTCTTCTCTTCTCCAGGCTAAACAGACCTCAAATGGAGCATTCCTCTTTGCTTTCCACCCTTACTCGCAAGCTTGCCTTCAAACTCTGACATAATTCCAAAAGATCTGTGGAATGTATCAACTAACTATTCCTGTTACTCATCCTGTAGTCCTTTGCTGTGATGAAAATGTCAATATAGCTTCCACTCAACTAGCAAAAACCGACCCAGTGTTGTCTTGGCATGGTCCAAAAACCACTGGCATCAACGGAAATAGATGGGCTCTTTAGACGATATATCACAGTACGCTTTATAATAGATACATATTTTTATAACAACATACAGTTCCACACTTTGGAACAAAACAATTAGCTAAATAAAAGACCATTGTAATACTCTTGGCACTGTTCCCAATCTGCCACTTTTCATAATCACAGGAATTTTCTTGGGTTTTAAGTTAGTCTACTTAAAACTACAAATATACACGAAATCAACACGGCACATTGCAAAAAGATGCACAAATAATTTTTTTTCAGAGGATCTTAAAATTTTTAGTAGAGTGACATTCATACTGTCTTAATGGGAAACACCGTATGTGTTTACACAGTGGTTTTGTAGGACATGCTCACGGTAGGTGTTCGTTGCTTATTATTTTCTTTAGGAAACAAAACCTTTCTTACATATCAGAGTGGAAATAGTATGACATACAGTACTACCGACATGGTAAATACAGAGAGGGATCTGCATAAACAGATACCCAAAACCTCTGTATTGCAAACATTGCATGGAAATTACACTTTTGGGAAACCACCTAGCGTGTGTGAAGGACAAAGGCTAAACAAAAACTGAAAGTAGTGTAAGTCAGCACTTGCTTCATATGGCTACTCAGTATGTTTGCAAAGCTGCAGCATTTGGAGGATATAAATTGCCCAAGAAAAGTGGAAAACCATACCAAATCTATCAAAAGTACTAGGACGTAGACAGGACTGAAAAATAATTGCATACTGTGGAATATTGCACGGTATCACAGCCTGAAAGCTTATATCCTTTCCCTCCTGGTCTGGTCCACATCCATTACTGGGAGAGAAGAGGAGAGGTGAAAATCCACAGCCTAAGATCCATACACATGGAAAGGGGAGGGATTTGCTCTGTTTATCTCCATTTCATCCTGCGGAACTGTCACTCCCTGGGGAAAGCTGCAGGCTTCTAACTTTTAATTTAAACTATTTTGTGTAGGCTGTGACAGCCTGACTGGGTGACAAGGCCTTGCCAAACCCTCCTGCGTAAAACTCTCAGGAACACACCAGCCCATCAGGCAGGCTCCGAGCGGGGGCAAAGGTGAAATTCCACTTTCTGGAAGTTATTTCGAAATTACCTTTGTGAAATGCCGCTATCCTGAAAAAAAACAAAAATAAATCTTCCCAGGACAGACACGGAAGAGATAAGCATCTGCAAGAGCTAATGCTCCTCTCACTGCACCTGAGAGATGAACACACACCCGAAACTGCACAAGTCACAGCTCTGGGGAGGGATGGGGGGGGCAACAGGGCTGGGCCCTGCCATCCTGCATCATTTTTCCGGAAAAAACAGAAATAACGCATCCCCCGCCCCCCTCCCGCACGCAGGGGGATGCTTCCCTCCTGTCCCCAACCCCAGCCCGGGGGATGCCTCCCGGCACGACGTCCCCAGGATGGGATGGGGGGATGCTCCATCCCTGGCCCCGGGGATGCCCCCCGGCCCGACGTCCCCCAAACGGGATGGGTGGGGGGATGCTCCATCCCTGGCCCCGGGGATGCCTCCTGGCCTGACGTCCCCGGACCGGGCTCGGGGAGGGGGGATGCTCCATCCCCGGGGCCGGAGGATGCCCACCGGCCCGACGTCCCCTGGACGGGGCGGGGGGATGCTCCATCCCCCGGACGCCTCCCGGCCCCGCTTCCCGGCTTCCCACGAAGTTTTCCCGAAGGACCCCCGGGTCGCTCCCGGCTTTCTCCTCCCCTGGCGGCGGGGAGGCCGTTTTCCTCGGGGAAGGGAAGTGGAGGACGGGAGAGGAGGCGGACCCGGGAAGGGGCGGGGAAGGAGGGCGAAAGGAGGGAGGCTCCGGCCCCGGCGCCGGGGCTCGGGAGTGCGAGGATGAGCGGCGGCGGGGCCGAGGAAATCCGGGCGGGCTCCATCAGCTATTCCCTTCCCTCCATCCCCTCTAACAAACTGCCGGATTTGCGCTTTATCAGCCGTGGGGTTTACGGGACCGTGTCCTCCGCCCGCCACGCCGACTGGAGGGTCCCGGTCGCCCTCAAATGTCTGCAGGGACCGCTGGTAGACAGGTAACGGGGGTAGGTGAGGGTCTGCCGGGATGGGAACAGCCTTTCCCCCAAACCAGGGAAGGGGATCCCTCTCTCCATCTATTCCCCGGGGGTGCGCCCCGTCGGTGGGTAAAGCGGCCGCGGGCGGTTGGAGCGCGGGTTGTGCCCGGGAGTTGCGGGGGCCGGGTTCTCGTGGGGTTGGTGGTCTCGGTGGGCACCCCCGTGCTTTAAATCCCGGGGCAAAGTAAGATCCCAGGAAGAAGGATTCAGCCCGGGCCACGAAAAATCACGTCCCAGCCCCGGAGCTTCCTCTCTTTCGGTTGTTGAAAATGGGTGGTTTCGGGCTCAGCCTGCCAGACACTTGCCAGCTTGCCTCTTTGGAAGGTTTTGGTTTTAGATTTTTGGGTTTTTTTGGTTTTTTTTTTTTCCCCAGTATGGACCTTGGATCCTCCTCAAGGTGGGATTTGCACAGTTCGGCTTCTTTCTGGGTTTGTTGGTTACTGACCGTTTTCCTGAAGTACCAGCTGGATGTTAAAATTGCAGTGATTGCTGTAGATTTGTTGTTTACGGAAAGAGACAGAGAGACTACACGTAATAGGTTACTGTATCCACCAGAGATTGCTTCTAGCTCCTAGAAGAAGCTTCTCTGAGACGATGCACATTTTTTTCCCCCCAGATCTCACAGTACTGAGAGAAGCTCATTTAAAATAATAGGCTTGTAGGCCCCCCATGTACAACTGATATTTTCCATTAACTCTTCAACTTGTAGCAATTGTGTTCCCCATTTTCTTGGGGCTCAAGTGACAAGAGTGTTTATTACAGGAGCTGTTGCTCCATGTAAGGGGGCAGCAGGTAATGATTTTCCATCCATCTCTGCCTCATTCACTTCCTACAGAACCGATTTTTTATCCTCTAAATGCAAACTTGCCTCTTCTTAGGCTGTCTGACTGCAAATCTGCCTCTTGTGTCTTATCTAGGTGTCTTTAATCTTTACTGCCTCAAGTTTTCCTGGATCTAGTATTAGGCATTTAGGCAGAATAAGATTCATTCAAAAGAACAAGGCTTCTAGTCTTGCGAGCCAATATGCTAGAATATAAGATAAGGTGTTTTAAACTATCTGACCTCTTATTTCCCAGGTGTGTATAAACAGGCTTTATCTCTGAAATCATGCCAGAATGAAATGGAATCTCACTTATGTTTTTAAGCAGGAATATTGTGTTCTCCGACAAGTGGGCTTTTTTTTCCCCTTTTCTTTACTTTAAATGCCTGCTTAAATCCCTGCTAATACAATGTTTGCCCTCCGAACTCAGTCAGGAGGAAACAACAATTATTATTTTTCGCCGTGCGATAATTTAGCTTAGCGTGACATCTAACCTGTGAAACTATGACGAAAAGAGGCAGTGAGGTAATCAAAATAATTCAGCCACCTACCCTGCAGCAGACCAAAAGCTGTAAAGACATCTCTTATGCCCGAGTTTCTGCAGCGAGTGAGGTGCTGGCTGTGTAGCAGGTGACATCAAACACCGTCCTGTAAATGCTGTTAAGAACAGGGAAGGGTTCATGGTGCAGGTGATTCCCCTGCCGGGAAGCCTGCAACCACGTATCCCAGAACTTGGGAGTGTGACCAGGCAAAGAGCAGAGCCAGCTGGGAAGGTATTTGCATGTTTGTACTAATTTAGGCATTACTCAGTGCCCTTCTGGTATGGAGCAGGCAAAGGTGAAGTGAGTTACAGGACCAGGAATAGACCTCAATTATGTCGCAACGCGTTTCCCAGCTGGAGCTGAATCCCCATGTGCCTCACAGCCTGGGAAAACCCCCAACTTCTCAAACCCAGCCTTCCTGGAGGGAGGGAGGGAGGGAGAGAGGGAGTTGTGTCTTTCCTCATGCTTTCCCTGAAGGTTGCCTTTTAACTTTTATCATTTCCTAGAGTTTCCTCTACTAGAAGCCTCTTTCCGTCACATAGATAATGTGAGAAACACCGACTCACATCTTAGAATTTAAAGAGGACAAAGTCACCAAAGCAAAGGTTAAAAAATTAATAATTTATTAATACGAAACAGCGCTGAATCGGGTGCACCAAAAATAGATGCACGATGATCTTTTAGCTTTCAGGTATTTTATACCTTTATCCCGGCCGCTTGAGTTTCTGTCTCCCTTCTCATTGGCTGAGAAGTTGGAGCTCACATTCTTCCCCACCGCTTGACCTATTACAGGTTTATTTTGCACTTTTTCCCATATAAGGCACACATACACCTATTTTACGAAATCATTATCCTAAACACGCCTTTGATTAGTTGATTATGCTACACATTATTTCAGAGTCTTTGCTACCATCTGCTTGGCAGATTTACCAGACTGGTTTCTTTGGCCTTATTGATACTCCCCTACCCTTTGGGTTTTTGTGTTGAAGGCCATGTTCTAGTCTGTTTCTTTTCACCTAGATAACGCTCTGTGAACAAGGATCCCTTGACAGACCAAGGGCATTTCTGGGGATTAATTGGATACAATTTATTAGACTCTACTATTACTAAGGCTTCTTTGTTAGTACTATCACACTAACAATGATACATCAATAAGCTGAAGCAAAACTTAGCTTATTTCCCACAATAAGGACCAGCAATTGCAGTTAATTTCACATCCATCTAAACTCAAAGTTTTCTGTCATAAAAGAGGCAGGCTTAACTCTCCGGGTTTCCTCTTTTCCTCCTCTTTTTGTGAGGGCTAGATGAACATGGATGGGTCCGGGCTGAGGTGGGCTCTTCAGTGTGTGCCCTGAGCCAGCTCTCCCCCTGGAGCTGTGTAGCCACATGAAGAAGGTCCGTGGTGGCCAAGAGCGAACCGTGGTGGCCATAGCCCTGGCTCCTCTGTGGCCGTGCCCCAGCACAGCCGTGTGGCCACCACCGCCAGCTCACATCCAAAGGAGCAGACCAAGATGTGCTGTAAAAATCCTGTTATTGGGCATCCTCATTGCATGCTTGCAGCTGCACCAATCCCCGCTGGTATAAAATCAAATTTTATTTTTTTTTTCTTAGAATTATCCTTCATGGTCCCAAGTATCCTCACTATCAACAAACCTTTTTTTTTTTTTTTTCAAAAACATTTGAGATACTGTCATACCAAATGCTTTATAATTTTCAGGGATAGAGGCGTACTCACTCTTAAATAAAACCTGAGCTTCTCGAATCCTTTTTTTTTTTTTTTTCAACAACATTTGAGATACTGTCATACCAAATGCTTTATAATTTTCAGGGATAGAGGCGTACTCACTCTTAAATAAAACCTGAGCTTCTCGAATCCAGATGCTGCAAGGTCTGAATGTGTAAATATGCATCAAGTTCACATTTATGAGGGGGTTTGGCATAAAAAAGAGCATTCTCACAGCCAAATTCAGGCATCCAGACAGCATGAGGCTGGTCTTTTCCTTTTTCCTGTACCACCAGGGGATGTTTTTTCCGGAGGTGGTTGATTCAAAGCAGAAGCCCAATTTGAAGGAATGTTTTATGTGAGAACAAAACATAATTGTTCATTCCTTTTCCTTCAGAAACCAAAGGTGCATTCCTTTAGCCCATATTATTTTTGTGCATGTCAGTGTAAATTTAAACGTTTGGAGAACGGTTAGTATTACAATTCCCACTCCGTAGGATATTAACATTGGGCCTCGGTGACAACTCAGGGTTTGAAGATGGGCAGTAAAAGAGGACAAATGTAGTTGGTTATTACCCTTATGGTTACACAAGGCAGTGAAAGCTGGAGTTCTGACTGTATCATTATTTACTGGAAACGTGGATGAAATGTGTGATGGAAATAGAGAGATTTGTGTGGTACAACAAAACCGGGGAAGCTATCTTGCATTTGCATTTGCAGATCCTAATTTTTTCTTACAGTATCTTGTTCTCAAAAGAGTGTTGTAGGAAACAAACGGGGAAAGATAGTGGCATTGCATATAGGTACATTTTTATTTTTTTAAAGAGAATACAGTGAATTCAGCATTTTCTTTGAGTTTCTTAGTATTGGCGTGGTAATGGTTTTGTTTCTTTGTTTTCTTTAAGTCATAGAGAGTACCTTCTAAAAGAAGCAGAGATATTACACAAAGCCAGGTTTAGTTACATTCTGCCAATTTTGGGAATTTGCAACGAACCTGAATTTCTGGGGATAGTAACAGAATACATGACAAATGGGTCATTAAACCAGCTTTTACATGGGGTAAGTGTACTTACAGTCTTTAATGCAATCCCGGGTTGTTTCAAATAGGTTATAATTTCCATACTTAAGAGAAATAGTATAGTAAAGTCTATTATTAATAATATTTCAAATTAAAGGATAGTCACTATCACTAGTAGTTTTTGGTGTTCTGTATCCCAAAAAGACAACTAAAATCAAACCACTTTAGTTTTATTACACTATTTCCTTTAATGTCATGATTTATAACTGCCTTCATGTTGAATTATTGTGTACAATCACTTCAAAAATCTCTATTATTCTCTGATTAGAAGCTGAAATACTTATGCTTACTTCAGTCTGGGTTTCAGAATTATTGGCCATGTAAATATCACACAAAGATAGAGAAGTTTTTCCTGCATTTGAATCTTTAGTTAAAAAAAAAATAAAAATTGAAAATTTTTACTTTAGTTTATGAAGTCAAATATAGCTAATCTGAACAGATATGGATATTTCTACCAGATCTTACTCTTGGGAGTAAGTTCTTCTGTGCTGAACTCTCAGCTGTTCCCATTAGCTTGGTCTGAGGATCCAGTTGTAAAGCTGCTGCAGGTGGGTCTTAACAGTGCTGCAGTCTTCTCTGTATCTTCAATCAGTCCATATCTCATACCTGGGGGAGCTCAGCTGCGTGTTTTTCATCAAGGCATTAGTGTCGATGTAACTTCTAAGATTTCAGTTGAGTTTTACTGCCTTTTTCTTGGTGTATTAATACTTATAAAGGTAGTATTTTGTGCTTAGTTTCACCACAGCTTTTTATTTTTTTTCTCGATGTCAGCTGAAGTTATGATTCTTGCCTTCCTTTGAGTAGTACATATAAGCTGTGGGTTGCATGTTTCATACAGGAGTTCAGTTGTAAATCTTATTTCCATATGAATGAGTAGTATAGTAAATGTCTACATCATGTAAAACGGTCATGAACTATTATGTGAATGGTAGGGAACGGAAGCATAACACTTAATGATTAACACTTAAATATTTATTTTAACAGCTAACCAGCTCAGTTAGAATTTTTTAAGGAGTTCACGTAATGTATATTTTAAAAGATTACCGTTTATCCAAGTCGCTTTCTTCTTATGAATGTCTTTGTGTTGTGCTGTTAGATCAGACCAGAGGATTATATTCTGGTTTTGTGGTTTTCTCTTGGCAGAAAGATGTATATCCTGACCTTCCTTGGTGCCTGAGATTCCGCATTCTTTATGAAATTGCTTTGGGAGTAAACTATTTGCACAACATGAATCCTCCATTGCTGCACCATGACTTGAAAACCCAGAATATTTTACTGGACGATGAGTTTCATGTCAAGGTAGAGTCATTTAATTCTTGTGTTCTTCAGCATCCAAAATTACTAAAAGTGTCTTAATTATTGTAGAGGAGGAAGAGTGAGGATGTGGCCATGCAGAGGGGACATAATTGTATGCCAGATGTTTTCTTCTGCCCTTGCAGACAGAACTTACCAACTTCTTTTGAAAACTCTGCTTTGCTCAAGTGTGGATTTGATCCATCTGAGAAGACCAGAACTTGGGCTGTTTGTGCTATAGCAGTAGCTGATACTCAATAGCAGTGATGCTCTCGTATGGCAACCTTCCAAGGGTAGCTACATCTGGCCCTTTCTGAGGAGAAAATAGAAAGCATTTCTGGCTGAGATGCTCAGACAAGTTAGTTCTGTAGGACAGTAGAACCAAATTCAAACGTTAGTACCCCATTTGACATTTGTCATGCAATAGGTACCTATATGTTCTGGTAGTGTAGTATAAGAACACGTAAAACTTAAGTGTAAAATCTGAACATGTTGGAAGGTGGCTTTTGTGAAGCTCCTTAGAGAAAGCAAACATACATAGAGGAGTAATAATAGTTTAAACTTTTATTCTGCCTTTTAAAATATCACTGCTGTGATGTGAAAGAGAAGGTAAAAGTACTTCTGATATAAGGGTTAGGTGCTTCTGTAATTGCAAAAGTTGGTTTTGGCTTTTTTTGTAAAAGATTCTCTGCTTTTAAAATTTACAGAATATACTATTCAAGTGAATGAGAAATAAGAGATATTTTGCACTTAATTTATACTTGAGTGGCGAGTGCTTGGTACCATGCACTCACCACTGGTACCATGTGCAGTACCATGGCTGGTACCATGAGATGAATCTTTCTTGTGGGTCCCTTGGGCGAGATCAAAGATCCAGCCCTGATTTTCCTCTTTCTCCATTGCCAAGACGTTTTTCTTGGCAGCAAGGTGCCTTACGCAGCCTGTCTCTGCTCACGCCCTCAGTAGGTCGTACCTCCTCCCACTCGGTTGTGCTGCTCTTGCCATCTCTCAGGCTTCCTGATAAACCTGATCAGGGAACTGGTCCAAGTAAATTTTTTTTAACCACTCTGTTTTTTTTTTTGACCCTTAACAGCACTGATGCAGTCTGGTGCTCTGCCCGACCGCATCGAAATATTTGCTTTGCTGGAGCAATTGAAGGGAAGAGGTTAATTCCTGTCCTGCCTCCTCAAAGGAGTCTCTGGAAGCCTGTCCTTTGGGTTTTTAAGTGTTTTCTTGGGGTGAAGCAAGGTTGTCTAAATTAGGACAGCTGTCAGGAAATGCAAGGAAGGTTATAGAATATAGAAGAAGTATTGCATATATATAAAAGTAACACCGTTTTATAGAATACAATTGTCTGGGCCGGAAGGGACCTCCAAAGGTCATCTAGTCCGACCTCCCCGCAGTCAGCAGGGACACCCCCAACTAGACCAGGTTGCCCAGGGCCTCATCGAGCCTCTCCTTGAATATCTCCAGGGAAGGGGCCTCAACCACCTCCCTGGGCAACCTGTTCCAGTGCTCCACCACCCTCACAGTGAAGAACTTTCTCCTAATCTCCAATCTAAATCTGTTCCCCTCCATCTTAAAGCCATTTCCCCTCGTCCTATCACTACAGGCCTTTGTAAACAGGCTCTCCCCAGCCTTCCTGTAGGCCCTCTTCAGGTACTGGAAGGCTGCTATTAGGTCTCCCCAGAGCCTCCTCTTCTCCAGGCTGAACAACCCCAGCTCCCTCAGCCTGTCCTCGTAGCAGAGGTGCTCCAACCCCCTGGTCATCCTTGAGGCCCTCCTCTGGACCCGTTCCATCAGGTCCATATCTTTCCTATACTGAGGGCTCCTGATGGAGTGGTTCATAGAGTGCTGTCCCAGATCTACTAAATGAGCAAGATATTGTGACAGTTACAGTGAGGAAGGCTTGATGAGACTGAGCTGTAGAGAAAAAAAGGTTATTTTTCACTGTGGATTTTGACTGTAGGCTCGGCAGAAAAGTGATTTCTGTAATCTCTATTGCCACAGTGCTTGCACAGGCATCTTTGTTGAATATGTTTTTGCTCTTGTGCAAATGCTGGACAAGTGCAGAGCTGGTCAGTGGCTACTTATCTTTTTCCCTTGTATGCTGGACGCTGCAGCTCAGCCAGCAAGTTTATTCTGCTGGCTGCTTGTCTCCCTACCCGTAACCCAGCCTGACATCTCGCTCCCTGGCTCAGGAGTGTCCGGGAATGTAAACTGAAGTCACTTAATTCTTGATGAAGTTGTACTGTAAACTCTGTAGGAAGGGTCAAGGTCCCAGAGTGCACAGTAAACAAACTATTCAGCAACTTTTTGCAGCACACAATTTCAGAATATCAAATCTATTAATTAAAGATTAATATTTCAAAGTTTTGGGGGGTGAGGTGGAGTTGCCCTAAAATTTTTTGTGAGAGCAGCTGTCTTGGGCTCTCTGCAAGCTAAGTTTACATAGAGCTATTGTGATTTATCCTGAATTTGTGCTTTCTTCACAACCAGGGAGCTAGAAGTACTCAGTGGTTTTTTGTTTGCTCTTTTTATTCAAAGAAAGTGATTTTCTTCATACAGGACAGATTCCCATGGGAGATTTTCCAGCCGTGAAGTTAACGAGTCCTTCCTTAAAAGAAGGACATGATAGGGCAGAGCTATAGGGATAGCATGAGTCATGACCTGGGAATGCTTTCTGAAGCAGAGCTGGTGTTTGCTGTTGCTAGGACAACCACATACTTTCTGTGTGTTAAGGTTAAGGACTTTTAGTGACCTGTTCTGTCGGGGCGTATTTCAGGAATTTCTAACAACGATCAGCAGATAAATCCAGTTTTTCTGCTCAGAACAATCGACTTGTCCTTTCCAGATTGCAGATTTTGGCATGTCAAAATGGCGTGTCATATCCATGTCGCAATCACGAAGTGAAACCTCTCTGCCAGAAGGAGGGACAATTATCTACATGCCGCCTGAAGATTACCATCCCAGTCAGAAAACCCGGGCAAGTGTAAAACACGATATCTACAGGTAACTCGTGTGGTTCTCGAGTGGGCTTTGCAATCTGAGTTCAAATTTGATTTACTGAACTTAGACTTTAACATAGTTTCAGCAGTTCTGTTATTTTCAGAAGTGTTGTAAGTTTATAAGCAAAATGAATCGGGTAAAATACAATTGAGTGGTAGCTGGATTTGATCACCTCTTTCTTTAGGAAACACTGTGACAAGTGTCATGCTCCAAAAATTAAGCTAAGAGAGAAGAAGAAGAAATCAAGCTAGAGAAACAGAGAGAGAAAACTGGTTTCTATAAATGAGTGTACACACAGAGACAATATAGGGAGGGGAAAAACTGTTCACACCTTTATTTCAATGTGCATACCCTTGTAATTTGTGCACATCAATTAACACAATTTGCAGCGTGTACTCGGGGGAAAGACAAAAACATATTTTTGGAATGGGGTTAGTAAAAAGCAGGATGATGGGAGTGGAGGAAGTCTTTAGAGAGATTTGCTTAAGGAATAACTTGCTCTAGGAAAGTTCAGGTACATTTGTGTCAGTCAGTTTTGAGTAGTAGAAGTAATAGAATAGGAAGCAGTAGCGTGGTGGCTACCCAAATAACAACACGACGATTGCTCTTAGGATATTAGAGTTACAATTAGCTAGTCTGAAAAGCCTTAGAGAGCTCAAAGATTCCTTGGGTGGTCGTGTAGGGAATTGTCATGTGTAAATTGAGATTGAGGAGGCAGGAAGAGGAACATCACTCTACCACCTTTACCTTCAGCTATCTTTGGCAGAGTTGTATTTTGGTGAGAGATGAATCAATCTCAGGTCTTACCGACTTCCAGGGACACCACTAATTTCTCTTAATTATCCCTTACCCTTAAGGGGCACACAAAGTTCCTTGATATTCCTGCCCAAAGAATAGAGATGGTAACATACCTGCTTTCCTCACCCTCTGGTGAGAAAATCTGGACTAGAAAGACATTGTAAAGGAATAATGGTATAATATGGGGAAAGAAGCAGTGTGACATTATCTCTTCTGGCTTCCAATTTTAGAGGATTTGAAAGTATGGATCGTGGCTTAATGAGTGTAGATGAGGAAGACAAATATTTATTAAAAAGAAAAAAAAATGTGTGCAGAGGAATAACAACCAAATGGGAGAAAATAAGAGAGAAAGGATCAGTAGAAGAGTTTTTACAAAACTGATAGATTAGGAAGGAAAGTGATTAATTGAGAAGAGAGAAAAGAAACAGAGACAACGTCGTAAAGAGGGATGGCAGTTCAAGGCAGGAGGACTTGAAGGTGGAGAGATAATGAAGGAGATGACTGGCAGGAAGGTCACACAGGAAGGTCTGTGCTCAGGATCAGAAAGAGATGCTGCGTAGCAAAAGTAAGAAAGGAAAACATGGCTAGTGTAAAGAGTGATCAGCAGGAAGTGGTATGCTGCAGTGTTGCAGAATTAAGAAAATAGTCTTTAATCGTAGAGAGATTCCAAGCTGAATGAAAGGCTGGATGTCTGATGAATTGACCACAGCAGATACAGGAGAACATTGTTGAGGTTTTAAATCTAATTTGTGAGGAAGGATCTCTCTTTGGGAAACAAATCCTTTAAATTACACTCAAAGCAGCATTAACTTTTAGAAAAGGAACGATTTGTTGTGCAAAAATAAAGCAGCTTGCATGAATTTCTCAGGAATGCATCAAAAGCAGGTTTTCTGCCAGGGAGGACTGCTTCTATTAAATGTTACTTGAATAAATTTTTAACCTTGGTGAATGTTAAAATGTGAATGGAATAAGTAGTTAGGAAAGCTCAATGTATATGATTGATTTTAGGTGTCAGTTATTTTGTTCTTACTTAAATGTTTTGTTTCTTCCTCATTGGTATCTGTTAGATGATGAAATGCTTAGAGGCAGTTAAGTGTAACCTGTATGCAAAATTCAGTACTTCTTAGTGATACAGGAAAATACTGTCTTTGTGTACTTGAGTAGTTGAGCAAACATGGATTCTGATAAGTATAGTTCTTCTTTGGCGAAAAAAGTAATTCTTTGCATAGTTTCACTTTTATTGCTTCAGTGGGAAATTTTTTGAAGTAATGTTTTAGAAGCTTTTTAATCCATTTTGAAATGGATTTATTGAAAAAATAAAGAAGTAGAAGTAAGTTTACAAGGATATGTTTGAAATTAGAAATGAGGTTCTTAAGCAGTGAAATATTTTTGCTCTCTCATTTTAGCATTACAGCTACTAGATTTATGCCTCACATCAAGTTCCTATTCTTAAATAGGAAAACCAGATTTGGGGTTTTTACAATGTTTTATTTTCTTTTATTTGCTTTAACTGCATTGATTACTTTTTTATAAATGAAAATGCTTCATTTAAATGACATAATGTAATCCAATTTAAATTACAAACTTGTTTAAAGTTGCCTTTTTCTTTTAATGTATCCTGATGATTGAAGGGAGTGAATAGTGAGCTAAAGACAGAGCAGACGCGTATTGACTGAGCCATTTCCCATTCGCTTTGATGTGAATGGTAAAAAATGTCACCAGTTTGAGTAAGCAGGTGTGTGTTCAGTCTGCTGGCTGTAGTTCAGGGTGGTCTTCCTGAGAGTATCTTTTGTAAAGTGAATATAAAAATAATTTCTAATAAAATGATGTAATTAATATAATTTTTAAAAAAATTAAAAAACAAAATAGTTTTTAATAACATGTGAAGCTGAGCACGTTGTGCTATTGTCAGCAACCTAAATTAATGTCTTCTATACTTTTTTATGCTTTAAACAGTTATGCAATTATTATGTGGGAAGTGATGTCCAGGAAACAGCCATTTGAAGGTAAGGCCACATCTTCCTTTAATTTATTCTTTAATTTATTTTTCCAGCCTTACATAGAGGCTAAATCTGGGAGCTGAGTACACGGGGACTTCATTTTAGGGGTTACTTTTTAATGATTCAACGTCTCAGCTTCTTGAAGAACACTTTGAGTTACTGTTGGAATTAGATTATTTTTCAGAATTTTTTTTTAAATTAGTGTTGCTTGATAAATTAAAAATATATTTTTTTGCAAAAAGAAAAAGCATAACCATATATAAATGCTATGTCTGCAAACTAAACTGTTGCTCCTGTAGTAATCTGTTTATATTGCATATATTTCTAATGGATGCACGATGTCTATTTTGACAGAAGTTATAAACTTCTGGCAGATAATGTACAGTGTGTCCCAAGGAAAGCGGCTAGATTTAAGTGAAGAAAGCTTATCAATGGACATTCCTCATCGAGACCTCATCATAAAACTGATAGGAAGTGGATGGGCACAAAACCCGGATGAAAGACCGTCGTTTTTAAGTGAGTTTACCTTGCATAATAAGAAACGGTTTTTAAAATGCCAGATTTCTGTTGAACGTGTTACTTGCAGAGCAAGATCATGGTTGCAAAAAGGAAATGGTTAAGGGTGTCACGAGATACATGTGCCCTGTCATGTTGTGTAAGATAAGGTGCTTGTCTGCAAACAGACTTTTATGAATGGAACTATGTGTGTGCCATAATACTAAGTATTCAGTTGGAGTCTTTTGCATTTGCCATCTCTAATTTACCCATAAAAAAGGAGCATATTTTGTTTAACTACTTTCACTTGGGGTTTTTTTGTTTATTGAAGGGAACTGTTTTTTTTTTTAAGAAGGGGGGGAGTGAAGTGTATAATGAGTGCTGTGGGATTTATGAGCAAGCTGGCAAACACACCAACAAATCGTTGCACATCAGATAAGCTATAGCGACTTTACCTTGTGTTTGCATCTCAGTACAAATCTTCTTCACTAAGACTTCATCTTTTGAAGTTCTACATCCCAGATTCAGCAGGAACTGGTTGAACCCACACACTTAACTTTTCCCATCGGCCTTTCCATTGTTCAGCTTTTTGTCCATGAGACCAAAAATAGACACTTTCAGCCTTTTTTACCGTGGGTTACAGAATTTAGAGAATAAGATTGAAGTGTGAGCTTGTAGAGATAAGAGTGGCAAGGCGTGAACTGGAAAAGTTTTGGTTTGATTTTTGCAAACCTGTGTTTGTCGCACTTCACCAACATAGCTGGTGTATGTTGGGTCCAAATTTACCCCCATAAAAATTTCTCTTAACGTGCTTAATTTTGTGTTTTACTTTCGGCTCTTGTTTGGCCATTTTGTAAAGATAATTCCATAGAAATTGGCAGAAAGCAATTACCTGTTTTCAGCTGTGAAATTTGTTTGTGTGAGTGTCGCTGTGGTCACATCTGTCAGCGCGGTGAAGCCACGCAGCCGCCTCGCTGGGATTGTTTAATCTGCTTGTGCTTTAAAATCCTCCCTACACCTGTAGAAAACATGATCCTAATTCCCTAGGGAAAGCTAAATTGCCTTCGAGGGGCAAAAATGTAGAATAAGTTACTAAAAGTATTCAAATGTAGAACAATGCGTGCAAAGAGATCTGGCTTAAACAATTCTATATTTTAAGTTTCTCACTGGTTAGGTTGCGGCTGCAATGACTCAAAGCTGAAATACTAGGTTTTTTTAGTTGGTTCTGGTGGGGTTTGTTTTTAGGGTTTGTTCCAGCGGGTTTTTTTAATGTTACAAGTAGAAAGGCCTGCAATCTTAATGTTTCATTTATAGCTTTGGTGAGTAGAACTTTGTTTATTATTTTGAAAATATTTATAGGCATACTTCCTTTGAGGTGGAAAGTGTTAGAAAATTGCTGTTCACATAACTTAGGCAGAAATACTCAGAACTTCAATTTTTTTCCATCAGTTTGGCAGAGGACAAAATGGGGACACATCCAAACTGATCTTCATGTTCAGTTTACAATCCAAAATTAATTACATGACGTTTTTGAGGCATTCTTATATTTGCATTAAGAACATTTTGAAATATCAGCTTATTTTGGCATGAGTCTGGTTTGTATAATTGTAAAGTGTGGATTATTTTTTCTCCACGCAAGGAAATATATCTATTTATAATATTTTTTAAAATCAGAAAGAATGGACACTTCACGATATTTTCTTATATATTCCTGTTTTCCTGTGCCAGTTAACTAAAACAAAATAGCAATCAAAACCTGTGGTCACAATGAAGGGATAATTACCTGGGGTACATACTGAAGTGTGAGATATCTTGGGTTCAATTATTAGTGTCCGTAGTGAGACGGTCTTTGAAGAAAACAGGCCTTGCTTTTTCGCCTACTTTACCGTCATAAAAAGAAAGAGGAAGTTGCAAAACTGTTGCAAAGTTAAGGGAAGTAAATCTCACTGATTGGGAAATTTTGCAAGGGGCGGGGGAAAACCAAAATATCCGAACACCCTTTTGTTAAATAATCTTTAAATAGAATAGGTCCGTTAACCTGTCTGTTCCCCTTAAAAAAGACTACTTATCACCATGTTTCTGCATGCACTTGGAATGTGTACCTACAATTTAATTATAATCAACAAAAATTAACAGTTCCAGTATTTCAGTGTGGAAAATGCAGTGCCAAAGCTGTAAAACCCCAGTTTAGCTGATGCAAGAAAATAAGAATCCTGCTATGTAATGTATGTCTTGAAGACACTAGTGGAAAAAAAAATAATATGGGAGAACTATGGTAAAATTATAGTAAAAAAATAAAAATATGTTAATAAGATGCAGTGTGACGGATTGCTAGTGTGGAAAATGGGTTTGGTGGAGTGGGTGGAGTCTGTAGAAATGCAGTAGAATTGTGATGTACCATCATCCTTTCCTGAGGTTTTATTGTACTTGAGCAAAATTTCAGAGACATTTTTATAATACAGTCATCTCAAAATTGTAAATACTTAGTTTTGTAGACCTTTCAGCACTGGAAAGCAAGGGAGCATAGCACAGGTTGTCACTTGTTTTTTTGATTGTTTGGGTTGTCGTGTGTCTCCCTGTGGGAGCAGATGGTTTTGACTTGAGTTGCCGCCTTTGGTGAGTGTGAGGACACTGTCATTTGGATTCACTGGATGGGACAGGTCAGTGCCCTGACTATCACCATCTTCTCCAGCCCTGCCGCACAGCATCTCCTCTGGATTTTGCTGTGGTGGAGGGCTGGTTGTTTATTTTTATTATAGAAATAGTTAAGACCTCTGCTGCAGTGGAAAGACAGTGACCCACTTTGAGGTCTTCTGCTGCTTGGTCCCATTTCGCAAACCAGACTTGTTGGGTCTGTCTTGAAATATAGCAAATGCCCTGATCTGTCCATTCCAGGAATGCCAGACTTGTGGTCGAGCACAGTCCTGGATCTCTTTGGATACAGAGTGCTGAGGTGGCCGGATCAGGACAGGGTTTGGTTTGGGGATGTGCAACCGTTGTGTTTGTAACAGCAGGTGAAAGCAAGAAACATCTGGGTTTTGATACGTATCAATAGACAAATTACTTTTATAAATGTAAGAAAGTAGCTTTAGCAAAATGAAAACTTAATTTCCACCATAAATCCTTCAGCAAAGTATTCTTTCTTTATTTAGAATGCTTGATAGACCTTGAGCCTGTCCTGCGAACGTTTGATGAGATAGCTATGCTGGAAGCAGTACTTCTGTTAAAGAGATCAAAGGTAAATGGCTTTTGTTAGTCATGAGTTTGTCAAACAAGTTGGTAACTTTTGCTTGCAAAAAGAAATGTCATCTCCTTTGTCATTTATCTAATCTTGTATCTGGCTGAAGCATGTGTTGGTACAGAGCTGTCATCTTGTCTTAGGGCAGAAATTTAATACAGGTAAATATATCTCTTCCAGTCACTGTATGAATCACGATGTATTTACAAGAGTGGAAAGAAAACAGATGTGGAGCAGATATCTCTAAATATACCTCTGAATCCCCAAGAGGTAAATATTTTTCATATTGTGTTTGGTATGTGTGCATCATTTAAGATCCTGAAAGCTTTAAAGGGAGGTTAACTTAGTAAGGGGGAATTGTTTGGCAGTTTGCTTTCCTGTGCAGTCAGGAGAGGCATTAAGATGCATTAGTTGAGCCGTAGAGGTGAGGATAGATAGTAAAGGGTGGGTAAGCAGAGGTAAGAAGGGTGTGTTTGGTATATCCTCTAAATGTGGGAAAGCCAGTCCCTGGAGGAGGAACGCAGCACACAACGTCTGCAACTTGTAAGAGACTCTCTTCTGCTCCCTTGCACCCCTAAGGAGCTTGCTTGTATAGGGTGACACAGATTTGCTTTTACATTTTGGTCCTTAATGCTGCTTCTTTTGATTCTTACTAATAATTTAAACTTCTATACAAAATTCCTGTCAGCTTTGGAAAGACACAAGTATTAGGATTACATAGCTTTCTTCTGGTTTACTGTATTTTAATTATGCTGCCTATTGAGCATTTAGATAGTAGGGAGAAGACAGTGATGGGAAAGTACTGTTATGTAAATCATTGCAACTTTGTATTTATTTATTGTGCGTTTTCACTGTACAATTGGAATCATTTCAGGAAACATATTCTGGCTCCTTACAGTGTGAGGCACTTCCCCTTCGGAGCATCTCTCCAGATATGTCAAGACTCAAGTCCATTCCCAAGTGTAACATCCTCTCATCAGGTAGAGATACTAATGACTTCTTATAAATTTCAGTTGCCGTTGCAGCTTTACACTCCCACTGTAACATTGCATTTGCATAGTACGTAGTTGGATCTCTGTTTATGTCAGAAGAGAGATGTGTTTTGTAAACTTAGTGCTCTGGGAAAAAAAACTGGAGTATTTTAGCTGTGATTTTCTATTCCTGTCACTTGAGAAATGCCCACAGCTCACAGCTTGTTTTCCTATTCAGTGTTGTGAGTGTGGGGAGAGTATTTACTTGTCCCTTCAGACTCTTGGCAGTTTTGTTAATAATTTGTGAACTACTTCTAAAGATAAAAAAGCAAAACATTTTGAGGCACTCCTAGAGCTGAGTAAACTGAGAGTCTCTAATGAAGGCCAACCTCTTGATCATTTTTAGTTCAATAAATAAAATGGCTTTAATAAATAGATTACCTTACAAAAGCATCTGCACAGACCTTTTGTAGCTGTCACCTTTTCTGAATAAAAGTTGGCAAAATTCCCAGAGAAAACCCAATTTTGAGGTTTTGCTGACATCAGAAGCCAGAAAAATGGGACAGGACACAGGTGAGATAGGAGTACATGGCAAAACTACGTATTGCTATTCTCTTGAAAGAATGCAAACATATATTTCAAAAGAATGGAGCATCCTTTGGCTTTGCAGGGACCAGTGCTGTGAAAACAGACGAGACGATTGACTTCACTGCTCTAAAGCAGGGGATCAAAAAGTGTGCTGAGGTGCTGCAAACCTGGAGATACTCTGGTAGAGGTAGGAGGGCACAGGCAGTTTCTTTTCCAGCTCCTGCTTGAACACATCAATGATTCTGGGCTTGTACTCAATGTATTAGAAAGATATAAATACAGCAGGAATTCCAGGGAAAATAAATTACAGGAGGCTTAAGGAATTTGAGTTACAGGGGGAAATGGCAGAAAGCAAATGTAGTGTAGTTTGGCTGTACCTCTACCCAAGTGTTTATCTACACACATAGCATAAAAATCTTAAAGATGAAGAATAACTTGTGGTTATCAAGTTTAATAGGAATGTCTTGATGAATTTTAGAAAATGGAACATGAGCATGGACTGTAAGTGTAATCAGATAAATAATGATAATGATAAATGTCAGCTCTTCTTACTGCTGGTTCCTGTTAAAAATTGTTATAGCTGCTTGTGGAGGTCATTGATGAGATTGTGATGGTACTATTCATATGATTGATCAGGCAGTGGTCCTTTACAGTGTTACTGCTTAGACTTTGTAGTATGTATGTATAGATACTGTAAAGCCTGTGAAAACAGAGTCTACAAAACCACGCTACAGCAGAAGTGTTTGTTATTACTTTGCCAATGTCTGCATCAGGTAGTTTTATAATGGAAAGCAAGACTGGAGTTCTTCTTAATTTGCCTAAATTAGACACGGTCGTTTCAGGTGAAAAGCTGTTCCCAGGTATCTGTTGGCAAGAGAAGAGTTTGGCATGGCACCAAGGGAGAAGTTAATGACTATAGATTTTAGTTGCGTTGTTTTTTCCACCAATATAATTAGAACTTTTTCAGAAGCTTCCTCCTTCAGAGTTAGGAACTGTGTTCTAACTTTCAGCCTCTTTAACTTTTCTTCCCTAGCCAGCTTATATACATAGTTGTTCGTGGGCATTGATTTAAGCTTAAATAGCTCTTTTCCCATTTTACTTCTGATATAAAGAGTAATCCTTTAATACATTTTGTTTTGCTGGGCAAACAGGATACGCCCTTTTGAAGTCCATTTGTAACATACACTTCTTCATTCTCCTGGTATCCTACTAGTCCTCCCTGGGCATGTTCTAACTTAAGTCATTGAACTAAGGCTACCAAACATCTGTACTTAGTATTAGAAAAGACGTGTGACAAGTGTTTTCTGCTTGAAATAAGAACTTCACTTAATACGCCTTAGAATTTCCTTTCTCACAAGATCCTTTGTTACAGAATAGTCTACCTAGGGTTTTTTTTCCTTATCTTAATTCCAAATCATTAACCTCAGCTTGAAGCAGAAAGTCTAGGTCTCATGTTTTGTGCTACCAAATTTCCACTTCTATTACTTCAGTCTTCTAGGTCAACTAGGTTCTGTCTGAGTAACCTGGGTCAAGCCATTATTTCTGAATAACAATATACAATATTTAATTAGCATGTTTTCCATTTTTTATGCTATGGTCACTGGTCAAGTTCATTCTCCCATACTAGAATAATCCCAGTAGTTTTGTCTCTAATGCTATTAAAGAACCATGTGTTCCTAGAACTCTATAACAATATATCCCAGCAGAGCTGTTTTAAATCCTTTTCTAAAATGATCTTTCATTCACACCGTTGTCTCCTAATCCTTTCTCATTCACGCAGTAGATAACATCTGTTATTTTACACTATATAGGTCTGCCCATCTTACTTTCTCTCTCATTAATGAAATTAAAAGCTAGCTACTATAAATTCTAGTCCACCATTTTTTTAAATAGTAAAAGTTTCATTTCTTTCACATTCTTCTATTTCTTCTTCTTGTGCTTACAGCCATATTCTTCCACAGGTCAACACTCCAATCTAGGAATGCACCATAAAATACCTCCATTGGAGGGTGCTATCTGTTCTTATTGTATCTTCAGATGTTCATCTGAATTCTTACATCTACATCTCTGGTTCTTAGTTAACATCTCTGGAGCGCTTTATCAAGTGACACTGTGAAAATCTGCAATGAAAACTGTATACAGAATTAGGCATATGACCTGCAATTGGTTTCTCATGAGCTGTTTGTTATCTCTTCTTTGAGTCATTCCTACTCCTGCTTTCACATCCGTCATCTTTTTCCGCCATAAAAAAAATCCTTAAAATATAAACTATTAAGCTTTCTATCTGATAAAAACCCTTTCCTCCCCCTTTCTTTGCAAATGTTTACATGAAGCTTTCTTGAAGTCATCCTTTTTTAATGGACTCCCAAGATCCCTTCTGACTCTAACCATTCTATGATTGGCTTCCCACCGAATGTTGCTGTTGGTATTCATGTTCTTTCCCTCCACCTGGATCTTTCTTTCAATCTTTCTACCTTTGTTACACTCCCAAACTTCATCAAAATAAATTAGTCAGCTTTCATGCTGACTCCTAAATACCTCTCCAAACACTTGAAGGAGTTATTTCGTTCTTCCAGTCCCAGCAAAACTTTCTGTCAAACAGTTGTGTTTTTTTTTTTAAAGCTCACATCTACCAAATCTATTCTCTCAATGTTCTTTTAAAATAAAAGAAGACCCCCAAACCCACGGTCAAGCCCTGGTAAAAGATAAGGGGCATAAATGTATTCAGAACTCGAATGTAAGGAATAATGTGTTGTATTTGAAGTGAATTTAGGTTGTGTATGACTTGTTTTATGGAATTGCTCTAAATAATCTCTGATGTCTGTTTTTTGTTTGAACATAGAAGTAATATGGCTCCCTCTTTTTTTTTTTTCCTTCTCTTTTTTTTTAAGGTGAAAATTCTGAAGGTCTAGAGTCTCTCAGCAGTCAAAGCACAGATGAAAATATCTCTGTAACTCAGAGTGCCAAACCTCTTATGCAGACTTACAGTAATTTTCCCTCATCTGGGAAGAGTGTTTCAGACGCCTCAAATTCTGCATCATGTGTGCGGCAATCATCACCAATTCCTTCAGGTACAGCAAACGTTGATTTAATTCCAAAACCCAAATTAGTGTCCTAATAAATATATGTGTGCATCAAATGGAAACTGGAACTTTTGTTCATCTGTAAAACCAAAACCAAAACATTCTACAAATTAAGAGTGGAAGTAATTCTGTCCTTGTAGCCTTATATTAAAAAGTAATTAAAACAGATGCAAAATGTGACCAAGTACATGAACATGTGGCTCCTAGCTTTTTTCTCTCCTTCTAAGCAAACTTAATTCCTGCTGCTTTGGGTCTTCTTTATCCCATTCCCTTTGCTTATATTCTTTCTCCTAGCAGTGCTGTAGTCCAACAGAACAGGAAAAGGTTAGCTTGAGCTTAACACATCTTGTTGCCTGTCACTTCTCCCCACTTTTTAAGCCTGTCAGTCTTCCTCTTAGCAATGGTGGGGTAAAGAGAAGCAGCACTTGGATCAGCATCTCACCTTTAATGATCTTCTATGTTAGTTGACAGCTCACTGCATGACATTCCTATGCACCAAATAACAGTTGAAAGTATGCTTCCAAAAAAAAAAAAACCCAAAAGAAACTGTAGTGCATGATGAATTATTCAGAGAGATATTTTTTTTATGGGCCACACAATAACGTGCAACTTTGCAAAGATCTGCTGCATCATCCCTTTTCTGGAAATACAAGAATGGGCACCTTTTCACTGCACAAATCCTCAGCTTGAGGAAAACACACAGGAAACTACAGGGATGCTTTCTGTAAACTTCAATAAAAATCCATCTGGAAAGTGAAGTTACCAACTCTCTGCTTTTAGTACCCCATCAGGTTGAACACTGGAACAAGTGGCACACAGAGGCTGTAGAAGTCCCATTACTTGAAGGTGCCCAAAATTCACCTGGACAAGGCCTTGAGCAACCTGAGTTATCCCTGAAGTTGGCCCAGTTTTGAGCAGGCCGTTAGACCAAATCACCTCCTTGAGGGTTCCTTCCCATCTAAATTATTCTGTGATTCAGATAAAATAAATATTTTAACCACCGAATTTGACAAACCAGAACATTTGAAATATGGAATACAGTAGTGAAATGTTAAAAGCATATTTAGTAGTCTAGTGTATTTCTGACCAAAACCAAGTTTTAAACAGCTCTTTCTCAGCTTGTTCTTTGTTTTATGGCACTATTTATTGACAAACAGTTATAATGCTAATTTATTTATTTTTTAATCTTCTCCAATCTCAGATCTTGTTTTGGAAACCATACAACACAACATAGCTCATCAATGGATCCAAAGTAAAAGAGAAGAAATTATTGATCAGATGACTGAAGCATGTTTGAATCAGTCACTGGATGCTCTTCTATCAAGATTTTTACTCATGAAAGAAGACTATGAACTAATAAGCACCAAACCTACAAGGACATCAAAAGTCCGACAACTGCTTGATACCTCAGATAGCCAAGGAGAGGAATTTGCCAAAATTATAATACAAAAGTTGAAAGATAACAAACAGCTAGGACTTCAACCTTATCCAGACATTGTATCTAATTCTCTAAGACTGCATCTTTAAATTTATTCTTTCTGTATGAAGCCATGTGAATATTTCTTACAACACGAGTCTTGTTTCTGTACAGTAGTTTTATATATGTACCACTGTCTTTATTGGGCCTTTGTAGAGTCTCAGAAATGACACTGAGTTCATCTAGACTGCATTTGGTGAGTTGCAAATAATCAGTGGGACTGCAGTCATAAAGCCAAACACTTGACACTTGTTGACCCAATTCATACAAGTATTTTGTTTATACACAATGAAGAAAAAACATTAAATGTTCCCTGTTTTACATATTTTCTGTTCATACATATCCTTTCCTTTCACCTCACAGATTTGAGACAACCCATCTCAACTTGGAGTATTAGTTTTTCTCCCTCCATCTGGTCTTTCCCATGGAGGGAGGAAAAAGTCTCGGTCCTCTATTCGAAGCTCGTATGCTGTGTTTTTAATTTTCTTCTTTCAGCCTTACTGATTACTCCTCATGAGATACTGGAGAAGAACAGTAGGTGGGGGGAAGCTTACGTTGCATTTTTACAGGATTTTTTATTATGTTTTGTTTTGGTTTTCCCATGTTGTTGCCAGGGCAAGCGCTCCAGACCACTGCATAAGAAGAATACCAGTCCAAAGAGGAGCCTGAGGGCAAGGAGGACATTGTGCTGATCATCTTTGTTCTGCTAAGAACCGATACATTAGAAAGGGTGCAGCTGTAGCCTTTTACATTATTTGGTTACACCCGCTTAAACTCCTCTTGAAATCATAGTATGATGAGATCTACATACAGCTTATATAAGGAAACCCTCAATTAATACTTCTTTTACACTACCTTAGTTAATGTCTCGCTTACCTTTGTCATCTGCTATAAATACTTCTCATCTCATGTAGCTGGATCAAACTTTTAATTAGATTTTATTTTTTGTATTTATGTGATATACTAAAATACTTCATTGTAGTATTTACATGAGGCTGGAAGTGATGCACATGGGTCTCTCCTGCCATGACCTGCTTTAACCTTCTCTGGACAGCATCTCCACCATCCTTCTTTGTCTGAAGGATGGTGCTAACGTGTTGAGGCACAAATGGGGCCACCTGAGAGGAAAAGGTATGTGATATTTTTTTTTCAGCTCATTTCAGAAAGCCTTAGTGACTTTACCCAAGAGGCTTCAAAGCTAGTGAAAAAATTACAGGTTTTAATGTCAGAACACAGCACAGACAAATGATTTTTACAAGAATTAATAAATAATTACAAATTCTGCTAACACTGTCTAAAATTTGGGAAATTTCAAACTTCACATACAAGAAAGCTGAAATCTACCTAAGCTACCATATAAAATGGAGCAGATAAATGAGAAATCCTAAGTGATGTCTGTTTGGACAACTATGGAGATACAAGATCTGCCCCATTTCAGTGATTCAGGCTTCAGTGTGGGCATTACTAGTTGCCAACAGTTTTTTTAATGTCTGGCTTATCTTATTTTGTGCACTGAATCACAAGAATCCAATGTAGAATTTACTGGATAGAAAAGGAGTGGTTTTAAGTTTTCTAAGTTTTTTTTGGCATAAACTGTGAATTTGCATTTTATCCTGCTTTTCTCTGAAGGCTGTAAAATTCAAACTAGATAGCTGAGAGCAGGACAGTGGTGGAATGAATGGTTGTGCTTTTTGTAGAGCAGACTTGAAGGTGTCCAGCAGGGACAGTCTCTGAGGAAAGTTTCCAGCCTTGCCAGTGGAAGTGCCAGTGGTGCCAGAACTGTGTGTTTCACTGCACATCACATTTTAAGGCACATTTGTTTTATTATTATTAGTGCCTAAAGAAAGATTTGTGTCATGCAAGGTAACAAAACAGCATTTCTTAGATGTGCATCCAAAATTCATTGAGTATTAAGAGCCTCCCTGAAATGTGGTTTTGGTAACTAGAGCAGAGGCTTCTTTAGGGGTACCTTTTTACAAGCTCGTATGTTGGTCTAGTAGGGTCTGCATGAGTTGAAATCTTTATGATTTCTTATTTTAAATTATCTGTAAGAAGGTAAAAGCATTCCTGCTATGTGTAAAAAGCCATGGCCTGCCAGGTTGCACTTGGCTTGCCAGGTGGCATCTGATGCCTCATGTTGGGGGGGTCTGCACCTTCTTCCTATTTCCCAACTCTTTGAAAGCAACTTCTGCCTTAGAGCAAACAGAACTTGAGCCCTCGCAGGGCTCATGATGTACAAGCTGGCAGGCCGTTCTGAATTTGTGATTTGTCCTGTTGATCCTTCTCAGTGCTGCCACCTTTGAACTCAGTTGCCCCTGGGGTGTTCTGTAGCCTGCCAGTGTGTCTGCTGCAGCTTTTCCACCGGTGCCCCATGAGCTGGTGTTCCCCAGAGGTCATGCAGATGGGTGGAGGAGCCCTGGGGAACAAGTGGGACAGATCCCAAAGGTGCTGCCAAGGTAAATGTGGGTGTTGCCCACCTTCCTGTCTCTTCACAGTGGAGAGGAGACGCTGGGCATAAAGCACGAGGACCCACTGGTAGGACACCTGGCTGAGGGGAGAGAGAGTCCTACTGCTTTCTGAAGCCTCCCTGCTGACTCTTACCTGTCAGTAAGACATTGTCTTTTTTAACTAACCCCTAGCTTGGGGTCACTTAATAATGACAAATCTGGCCTACAGAGAAATGGTGCTCTCGTGTTGCTTCAATCACTATGGGCTGCCCCTCTCCATGTGCCATCACCCAGAGGTGGCACAGCTGCAAAGAAAGTAATTTCTACCCCCAGTCCTGAATTACACGTGCATCTGTGAGGCCGTGAGTGTTATTCTAGCTGAAGTCCAGCCCTCCAAGGAAACCCTGAGGCCACTCAGCAGAATCTCCTTCTTCTTTCCTTGAACCCTGAGCATCCCTCCATGAGGGAGCAGAATCCATAAGCAAGCCCTCTCCAACATGTTAGGCCCGCACAGGCCTTCTCAAAAGCGAAATGGAGGAGGGGGACAGCCACACTCAGGCCTTGAGGAATAAAGAAGAAGAGGTAAGGAAAAAGCTTTGGGGTAGGCGTGGAGAAAGGGAGGTGGAGGCTGTGTGCCTGACCCACACAGGGTGCGTGAAGGGTGTGGGGAGGTGGCAGACGTATGAGCCAATACGTCAAAGACTGATGCCGCTTCTGTTGTTTAACTCCAGGGCTACGAAAGAGGAACAGAGTTTCTGTGCAACTGGAACACTCAGCACTGATTTTTGACTGTGGCACCAAGCCCAGGGTTGGTGAGGACGGTCAGGCATGGTCATGCAGTTCATGCACAACTTCTCTGTCAGGAAGCCACTAGTAGGTGGTTTTGACTTGAGTTGCTGCCTTTGGTGAGTGTGAGGACACTGTCATTTGGATTCACTGGATGGGACAGGTCAGTGCCCTGACTATCACCATCTTCTCCAGCCCTGCCGCACAGCATCTCCTCTGGATTTTGCTGTGGTGGAGGGCTGGTTGTTTATTATAGAAATAGTTAAGACCTCTGCTGCAGTGGAAAGACAGTGACCCACTTTGAGGTCTTCTGCTGCTTGGTCCCATTTCGCAAACCAGACTTGTTGGGTTGGTCTTGAAATATAGCGAATGCCCTGATCTGCCCATTCCAGGAATGCCAGACTTGTGGTCGAGCACATTCCTGGATCTCTTTGGATACAGAGTGCTGAGGTGGCCAGATCAGGACAGGGTTTGGTTTTGGGGATGTGCAACTGTTGTGTTTGTAACAGCAAGTGAAAGCAAGAAACTTCTGGTTTTTGATACGTTCTTGCTGACAATGAAAGCTTTTCTCTGAGTTGCAACAGCTCATTGAAAGCCTTTTAAAATGTATGCATAGAAATGTCTTTTTACACTTCTTGCCATTAGGCTTAATATGCCATTTTAGTACCCAGTCACTTACTAATGACTGATCCCCAGTCGCTTAGTTGTGGCTGATCCTTGTGTCCTGCTTCCCATACCTTCACTTAACATGGTTAGTAGAGGTTCCTTCACACGATCTGTGTGCCGTGTTCTGTCCTGCATCAGCTTCATGGGGAAGTAAGGAGTCACCATCCCTGGAGGTATGTGTAGACGTGGCACTTCAGGGATGCTCTAGTGCCCGAGAATGTTGGTTTGTGTCTGTTTGTGGTTGGGTTTTTTGTGGGGGTTTTTTGATATTTTTTTTTGTGGTTTTTTTTTGTGGTTGGACTCAATGATCTCAAGGTCCCTTCTAACCATGAAGATGCTGTGATTCTGTGATTTTACCAAGACGACACAAATGGTGGCCTTTGTTTGTCATTCAGACTCCTGCAGCTAATGGCAGAGGGTGTTTGGCTGTGTTATTTCAATCATGGCTAATTGTAAGTGCCTGTGGTGTAGACGAGGGCTGGATGAGCCTGTGCTGGCTGAGCACTAAGGCACAGGGGCAGAAGTGAGGGACAGGAGGCAGCAGAGGACTTGGCAGAGCTGCAGCTGAACAGTTCGATGCATCTGGGCAACGGTCTGAATGAAGAGGGCTCTGGAAATAATTGAAATACTCTTGTTTCCAGTGCAGACAGAGTGTGAAAAGCCTTCCTGAGCATCAGCGGAGATGTAGGCAAGAAACCAGAAGATGTCACAGGCTTATTGGGGCAAGCATACCTCACTTTGCTGTTCCATGAGCAAACGTCTGTGTAAGCTGTAATACACAGAAGAATTGCTACGAATGAGCAGTCAGCTGGCAGAGGTGCATCCTCACTGCACAAGTGCCAGTCAAATTCTGCAAGACTGTAAAAACGAATGCGAAAAATATGTTATAAAGGAAGTCACATTCACCTCTTCACATTATCCATCCTGCTTACTTAAAATGCAAATAAGTGTAATTGTCCTTTGCAAAGGAATGAGATTTTTTTATTCACAGAAGAAATGTTCACGGAAGAAACGGTTTTTATGGGCACTGCATGCTTTATGATTGCTCAATGCGGATTTTTGTGCTGGTTTTGTGCTGTAAATTTGTGGGAAATGTCGAGTAGTACGTAAGCATCGGGGTCAGACCAATAGTAATAGGGGAAGCATTAATGCAGAAAGCATCTTGCTTCCTGTTCCAACATGCAGCCTCTACAGAATTATAACAAAGCTGTATCAAGAGGGGGATATATGAACAACGTAAAGGTGCTCTCCAGCTCCAAGAAGGGGCAAATGTCTGGTGAGTGTCCCTCAGCGTAGTGCACAATCAGTTTGGTGCCCCAAACCAGAAACGGGACAAATTCAAGGTCAAATTATGCATTTTTGAAAATATGCGTTCTGTTTTTTAGGCTATAGCTTGTTAACACTGCCCTGACAGAAGGAAAAGATTTTAAGATGATGGAGACCCTGATTAAGGAACGTGGCAGTCAGCCTCTCTGCTCTTCCATCAGAGAACAACATCTGTGCAAAACAATTCTGTTGCCAAAATGTTTCTTAACATATTATAATGTACCCAACCACAGACTTGCAGGCAGCTGGAATTTTGTGATCTTTCCAGGCAGACTTAGAGAGGTCTCTGGGATAAATAACTGTCCTTCGTAGACAAAAATAAAGCAACTCAGAGGCTGTGCATTCAAAATACTTGCCATATACTTGCTTTTAACGGCGTTTTAAAAAAGCACAGCCATTTCTGTGTAGACATTAACTGTAGACCTGTCTCAATATATCACGGAAAGCGTGTTTTTACAAGATGTTGCTTTAAAAGGATAAAATAGGAGGCGACTGACTTACGACAGAAAGATTTGGGTTGTTTTTATTATTCATTTGGGTTGCTGTGGGCTACAGTATGGAACGTGCAACATGATGCAACTCTCCTGCTTGTTTTCCAGTTGGATTACTGAGGCTGGAGGTATTGGAGGGATATCTGCATTTGAATTCCATTTTTTCACTTTCCTGTGTGGATTAGTAGCCCGTTCTGATGAAGTCCTGTTACCTGGACTCTGGTGCCTCAACTCTGTCCTGTGACTTCAGACTCTTGAGCTGCTGGATCAGCTCTTTCCAGATGCCCTTTGGTATCTGAGTACAATTTTTTACTTTACTATTGGCCTTGTCATTCACGGAAAACAAAAATCACAGGTTAGTGCTCTTGCACTCATTAACTTTTTTTCTGCCCAGAAGACTTTATTTTCTGGATGTTTACTTCTTTTGGTAGATAGTGTGCTGTATACCACACAGTCTTTCCAAAAGTACTTCGTAAACAGCACGACGTACTGTTTCAGAATACAGAACTGAGTAAATTAGGTAAGTAATTTATTTCTTTGGTTATTTTTTATCTTAGATTTTTTTTTTTTAAAGTTTATTTAATTTAAATAAGATCTTAATGCCAGATCAGCCTGTTTTTTGGATCATGCATCATGCCATAAGTCATTAGAAAAGCCACAGATATATAATTTTCTGGTTAAGAAAAATTAGAGGGTTGATAAATATTTAGCAATTAGTAGATTAGATTTTAAAATTGTGTATCCAAAAAAGTAAACAGAAAAACATTAAGTTTTTTAGATTAAATAATACCTATGAATTTGAGTTAATTACCGTTCCTAGTAGTCTCCCCACTCTAAAAACCTTTCTGATTTGGCAAGTTATGCCACGAGAATAAACACTGGCTTTGTGCACAGTGTTAGCAAGAAGTCACATGGTGGCTTTCTAAATTAACAAGAAGGAATTAGACTGCATTTGTTTCACATTAACATCTGGGAAGGGTTGTTCTTGGTTTCAGTGATATGTGGATGAAGGAATTTATTTTTTTCCAACCTTTCTTTTGTTTTATCTCTATCGCAACTTTATAAGGAATAGAGAGCAGCTGATAGTTAAGTTGCCAGTTTCTGCCTGCTAATGACCTCAGTTGAGGTTGTTTGGAGAATCTACATTCCAGGAGAGTCTGGGATCTTCTTTCTTAAAAGCTCTCATTGATTTCAGTATTCGTGCTACTGCAATAAAAATAGCAGCTGGAGGCAAGGCTAAACCAAGAGAGAGAGAAGAGACTATTCATATTAGCGTTAACTTACCCGTCCTGGTCAAACAGATGAGTGCTTATTTAGATCAGCAGCTACAGATTTCAGTTACGGCAGCCTTTCTGCTAAAGGAAGCAACTCTATTACCTACACCTCTCCCCCACCCCCGGTAAGCCACTACATTCTTTTTTTAATACTTTTCTTAGTTTTGGAGTACAGTAGCGTGTCTCTCAAATATCTCCTGTGATTTGCTTTGGGGTGGGAATGGAGTGCTGGGGGTGGAGCAAGTTCCTCCTATGGGAAAACCAGCCTCCGACCACAGTGATGTGATTGGCACATTCGAAGCATCGATTCACTGAGTATTTTTATAAACATAAAATGGAAAAACAAAAAGGAGATCTGCTTGTTTCCTAGTAAGTGGGATATGTTTTCGTCAGAGGAGCTAAAAGTGGATATTTTGTTGTTGTTGGTTTTTTCACTATTATTATTGCTAAGAGTGTTTTATTTTATGCTGTTCCTTCATACTGCATAATCTTGTTTTGCTGTCACACTGGAAAAAGTCCAGCAGTATAATCTTAAACTTCCTTTAAGACCTGTTGATGCTCATGCTCAGCAACAGTGTTTTGAAGTTTGCTCTATATATTTTTGGTCATGTTGGAAATTGCTGGCTCATCTCATTTCGTGTTCCAATAGCTATTAATATAAATGTATATGGTTGGGTTTTTTTCTTTTAGTTTATGGTCAATCTGCTACATGCAGGAAAAAATAATCCAGAGTGTACTCGGAGAAAATAAGAGATTGCTCATGACTTTTAAACTGGCTTTCTACACGTATAATGATTTCTATTACAAACATAATTAAAATATGCTAGACTTTGTTTTTAAATTTCATCCTTAATGTCATTCATTTAGCAGTTTTATTGCCTGGTTTGACTTTCCTATGTTCATTGATGGCATAGCAGACTTTCATTATTGAGAAATTATGTGCCAGTAGACAAGAATCACCTGAAGAAAAGGCCATGAAATTATCTGGAATAACTTTATGGAGTAAATTTGATGTCTGGCATGTTCCAACATCTTTGACAGGAGATGACTTTCTAAATGTCCTCAGATTCCAAGGAAATCTGCAGAAGGGAATAATATTTGGTCTCTAAGAGAGATCCTCTGATTTTTTTTACTAGTATTTCTTAAATTAAGAGCTGAGAATTTAAAAATATCCTAACAAATAGAGGCAGCTCCATCCCTCTGGAGGTCTACACAACCAGTTCATAAGATGTCACACTTCCATAACCCCTGACCAAGCCTTGTTTAATTATTTGGCAAAGGTTAATCACCTCCTCAAGGAGGAGGCAATCACTCACGAAGCTGTAAACCCCTGAAGGATGGGAAGCGTCTGAGAAAATCCTGCCCTGCCAAACCAGTCTTGCAGTAATTTATGGAAGAGCTGTCTTTGATTTGTACTTTGGCTTTCAATTACTTTCAAGATGTGTCTTCCTCCTTCACTTTTCTGTATGACTTCTGGCAGTCGTTCAACCAAAAAAATTAGTTATTGAGAATTACTTGTATATGGTGGTATTGTTTTCCTTAACTTCTCAGTTGTTGGTTGATGAATTCCTTTCTGTTGCTCTTTGTGCGTACAGCTGGGAGGTAAACATAAGATTGCAAAGGACTTAGGGCCATTAGGCCTGTCTGTGCTCTCAAGGAGCGAGTGCAGAGGAGGACAACGAAACTAGTGAAGGGCCTAGAAGACAAATCATACGAAGAGCGGCTGAAGGAGCTGGGGCTGTTCAGTATGAGGAAGAGGAGGCTGAGGGGAGACCTCATCACTCTCTACAACTACTTGAAAGGACACTGTAGAGAGGTTGGGGCTGGTCTCTTCTCACAGGTAATTAACAATAGAACGAGAGGGAATGGCTTCAAGCTCCAACAGGGTAGGTTTAGATTGAACATTAGGAAGGAATTCTTCACTGAAAGAGTGATAGGGCATTGGAACAGGCTGCCCAGGGAGGGGGTGGAGTCACCATCCCTGGATGTGTTTAAGGGCCGTTTAGATGCGGTACTGAGGGACATGGTGTAGGGGAGGACTTTGTAGAGTAGGGTAGATGGTTGGACTCGATGATCCCAAGGGTCTCTTCCAACCTCAATGATTCTATGATTCTATAAGGCATTCTGCTTTTTCTCTGAGAGGAAGACTTTCCTCCATTTTGTTGAGGGAGCCCCTAAGGAAGAGCAGGACCTGCAAGAAAACTGGGTTCTGAAGTTCTGCAGTCAAGATCACTTGTTGACACAAGGCACAGGCGAGTGTTTGCAGCTGTTTCATTTAGCCTTAATTTAGCTGCAGCTTCTGAGGCACACCGGCGTGTTGATGCCTGTCTGAATCTCTGATTTCCAGAGAGCAATAGCTCTTTCTGCATGTCACAGCCCACGGGGACCAAGAGAGCAGGGACGTTCCTTCACATCAGGAAGCTTTTATGCCTTGCTCTTCATGCACATGAGTTCCTAAAATACCTGTACTTACATTCTTGATGCCATAAAGTTCTATTATTGCAGTAGGATTAGCCTTTAAATACTCAACCGTGCTAAAAGCAGAATGCCAGAATGCAAAGAGCCTCCCTTTTTAAATTACTGCATAAATTAAATCTTTCCATTCCCAGGAAGCCAGTCTGAATTCCTCTTTGCTAGAGGACTCGCTGTAAGGATTTAGTTACCTATTATAATACAGGATTTTCCAACTGAAAACAACCACCCCCCTGTAAAGTCAACTTGTTACAGCTCTGATGGTTGTCCCCAGCGTGTAAGCCCTCCCAGACCTTAGTTAGGACTGGCTCTCACTTGGATTATGTGCACCCCTTCAAAATGTGACCTATGGATATGCCCAAGTGACAAAGAACAGAGCCATGCCCAAACAATCCAGACTTCTTAACTTAAGCTTTTTGGCAGAGCAGTCTGAGGCAGAAGTGTCAGTCCTGGTCCCAGGGAGGAGAGGATGAAGTGACAGTGAGGCAGGAGAGCAGGACTATGGGCCAGGTTCAGCAGGAACAAAATGGCACAAGCTATAAATGAGGGGAAGAGTTACACCGTGGCGATGGATGGTGAACATGTCATCAAATTGTTTTCATCACTGCCTGGATTATAACAGCAGTATATTCTTTACACATTTAACCAAAAAAAAAAAAAGTCTCCTTTTGCTATTAAACAGGATGATCTGTAGAGGATACTACTTCCTCTATTCCTCTAATTTTTTTAATAGCATGACTACTTTGCTAAGGACTACCATGAGTCCTGCCTCAGTCAAACCTTCTTTATTTAAGGAAGACATAGTCCTGAGTAAAGAAATCAATAACAACTTCAACGTTGTGACCCCACTGAATGATAATCAGTGCACTGTCAAAGCTGGTGGGAATATTGCTTTCAGCTTGAGTGGGGGCAGGAGGTGACAGGGCTGGACAGGAGCTATTAAAATGATTTTTGTTCTCAAATTGCTACTTTCTTGCAGATTTTCAGCTGATATAAGTTAGGGTAACAACTACGGTGAAGTTACACATCTTGGTTATGCAAAGTGAGTCACTTAGCCTTTGATTCTCAGGCTGTTACCTATTTGTGGACTTAATTCCGGGGCTGGTTAAAAGTTTTGCTAATGTGGCATCTCTCAAAGCACAAAATTTTGAGATGTTTCTTCTTCTAATTGTTTTTCTTTTAAAAATATTTCGCCTACAGTCACTTATCTATGAAAGAAATATTTCCCAATACAGCTGTTTACACATTTTTAGGGATATGAAATACACTTTTGTTAACAGAAGAGAGAAGAAAAGAATGTGGAAAACATTGTGTTACTTAAGAAAATAATTTAATCTTTACCTTTGTGCTCTCACGAAAGCTACAGGTTGTAAAAGTTCTACTAGATTCAAGTAGCGCTGCCAGTTTAAATGCCCAAATTCCCTTTAGCTACTGGGCCATCCGCACTAGACATCAAAGTTCAGGTTTGATATCATGTACACAAGGTACTAGTGACAACCCACCAATTGCATTGTGTATCCTTCTTTACAGGAAAATAGCTTTATCTCATTTATCTGTGAGACTTCATTTCAGGAAAAGTGATGGCTGTTGGTTTTGGTCACTACTCGTGTAATGGTGCAACAGCTCCACATTCACACCACCTCAGGAACAGCTGCATTTTAAATTCTCACTCCCTTTGAGCCGTACACACTTAGACATTTGAGCATTTTGTCTCAGAGATGGAGCTCTGAATGACCCACATTTAAAAAATAAAAAAAATTAAGAAAAAAAATCGGGCACAAAAAGCACAAGGTGATTTAAAATCCCCTCTGTATTAATAGAGAGTTTTGCCAAAATTTCTAGCATGCTGCTGTCCTGATGGGCTCTTGGGACAGCTGCAATCATGGGAGGGGGTTTCTGCCAACATTTCACGTAGCCATGGAGGGCAGAGATGGAGCCAGGAGGTTCTGGAAGTATGAGCTCGTGTTTCAGGGGAGAAGGTTGTGACTGGAAACTGGGAATGCTTATGAGGAGATTTAAGGAAGATACAGGACTGGTGTATTGGATGCCTCAAATTTCTCTCCAGAGATGATGATGACGTTTTTTGCTCTTAGAGGGATAAAGTGAGAAGTAAGAGGAGACACCCGTGTGTGAAGAGGAGGTGAGCAAAGGATGGGGGGTTCAGCAGTCACGCTTGAACACCTATGGGAAGAATGAAAATTTAACTACTCCAGATTTCCCACAGTGCTGCTGCAGTTACAAAAAGTTCCATTGGGATGAGAAAGCATTTAATCTTTAAAGAGTTTGACATCTTTTAATCTTTAATCCTCATCAGGCCTCATTAGTTATGTGATCAACTAGGAAACTGAGTTGCACCAAAAAAAGCTGAAAAAGAACGTGTATACGTTATTCAGGGCTGCTGCACCAGGCACACTTTACAAAGGAATGCAAACCTTTCGGGAAGTTTGGGTAGGGCAGGTTGTTTGTTTTAAACTGGCCATTGACCCCCGTTTTATCAACGTAAAATTGTGATCAAGTGTTTTTGACCAGTGTCGCGTGGAGGAACCTTGTTCTACTTGGAGAACTTGGCTTTAGCTCATAGGATTCTGACGAGGTTTTCTTTGGAAGTGTTTTAGACTGCGTGTGGAGGGGGGAAAGGAAGGAGAAATAAATTTCTTCTGAGACAGGCACCCAAAAGAAGTCATTTGTTCTAAGTAAGCATCATTACGAGTCAGCAGAGCCAAAGAACTGAGACAGTCGCTGCAGTCCCAGCTCTTACGTCTCCCTTCCCCATCCCTGAGGACCTCAGCCCCAGAGGGGTGTGATGTGGGCACAAGGCTGATTTAGCAACGCAGCCAGGCAGTTACCTCGTTTTTCCCAGCTTCTGGCAAGCTGGATCCTGTCCTGTAAGCACTGGAGTGGGAAGCTTTTACAGTCGTGTTTTGTTGAACTCCCTTATACAAAAGCGTTCCAGGAACAGGGTGTTCAAAACTCAATCCCTCTGCATGCTAGTGGCTTCTTCCCAGAAGTCAAGTGAGGTTAATAACTAAACAAGCTGCATTATTCTCTGCAGCAGCAATCTCATCTCTAGCAACAGCTGAAGCTCTTTTCTTTGTCCTCACATTAACATTAGCCTCCTGAGGCTGGAGTTCTTGAGTATCTTTTTCTCTCTCGTATTCCTCAGCAGATAATTTTCAGATGGATGAGACTGATGAAACAAATAGGCAAAATAGCACAAATAGGCAGGGCTTAGCAGGGGAATTGGACTAGATGATCTCTAGAGGTCCCTTCCAACTCTGTCAAATCCGTGAAATAATAACGAAGTGAAGTTCTTCCAGGGAATGAAGCAAAATTTAGGGACTACACCTGTGTGGGACACTCCTGCTGTATAAGAACATATTTCCAGGGGTACAGGGTCTCCTTCTTCCCTAAGAAAACTTCAATAACATAATGCAGGATTACAATTCAAGATAAATAGTAAAAGCTTCAGGATCTATAACAAAGGATGGTGGCCTCACATTCATCCATTAAAGATGTACAGAACAGTGAAAGATAAGAAAATCCTGGACTGCGAGATAAAAGCAGGCAAAATAATTGTTCTTTGTAGAATTTATGCCATGTATGTTAATACTCTTGTCTGTCTTTCTGATGCCATGTGTATTAAAAAAGATATTCTGTCCTCTTGTTTTCAGGTAATGACAGCTGAGGATGCCAGGCCCCTGGAGAATATTCCGCAATAAGAGATCCAAAACTAAGAATGGAAACACCGAAATGGACAATATGGCAGACACAAGTGACAAAATGCAGATGAAAAAAGAAATCACATTACTAAATGGAATTTCCTTGATTGTAGGGAACATGATTGGCTCTGGGATATTCGTATCACCCAGAGGTGTTTTAATGTACAGCGCTTCCTACGGACTCTCCCTAGTCATCTGGGCACTTGGTGGGATGTTTTCGCTGTTTGGAGCTTTATGTTACGCTGAATTGGGAACATCCATCATTAAATCTGGAGGCAGTTACGCCTATATCCTGGAAGCATTTGGTGCCTTTGTGGCCTTCATCAGACTGTGGTCTTCCTTGCTCATTATCGAGCCGACAACCCAGGCAGTGATAGCAATCACGTTTGCTAACTATATTGTTCAACCAATTTTTCCTCATTGTGAGCCACCGTACGATGCAGTCAGGTTGATTGCAGCTGCTTGTATTTGTAAGTAAAGTTATGATTTCTAGAAGTTAAGAACTGTAATTGTAGACGCGCAGAGAGATTTTCCTGAATTTCTATTCCTTCACCTTCTGTGAAAATAATTATTGCCTCTCTAAAACATGTTCTTAAGAACCAATAGTCTTTTGTTGTGATGTATTTTAATTAGGGCTGGGATTATTACAGAGGAAAGGAGAATTACAACAATTTGGCTGGGGGAAACTGTGGCTGCTGATTAACGATACAATCATTGGCCTGATACGCAGCCTGCATTTGGTCCGTGCCCTCTCTTGCAAATCAACAGATGAACAAAAATCTTAAAATTCATATAGACGTAATAATACTCTGCATAATATGAGTATTGTGGCTGGACCTGCCACTGGCCGAGCAGCAGTGCTCGCCACAGCACTTTACCTGCCCAGCAGTGTTCAACTTCTGCAACAAAACTGAATGCAAAGAGTATGGCAGGAAGAGGAAAGAAGAACTAATTGATCCCACCCACTCTCTGCAGCTGAATCACTTATTGTTATGTCTATGAGATTCAGTCAAAATTGAGGCTTGAGAGAACTCTGTAAGTGCTTCTGTAATCTCCAGACTTGGGAGATTAGATTTAGAGAAATCTCACCTGCATGTCAGCATCTTTAGTGAAATTTAAAGATTATTTAAAAGGAACAGGTTTTAGTCCTAAAATTCAAAATCTGATGTGTTTGTTTTACCTACTGTCGTGAAAATGGCATCCTCCAAAAAACTATTGTGTAACTTTTAAATCGGTATTTCATTCATTTTAATAAATCTAGATGGAATTTGATCCTGTTTTATTTCTTGAAAGAGGGGTGGTATCTGGATGTATTTGAAATATGCTTTATGTGATATAAAATATCAGTGTTCCTCTCATGCATATTCTTTTTCTCTACAGGTTCCTTAACATTTATTAATTGTGTTAACGTGAAGTGGGGAACCCGTGTACAAGATGTCTTCACATATGCAAAAGTTATGGCTCTTATCTTGGTGATATCTGTTGGCCTTTACAAAATTGGTAAAGGTAAGAATATTTTTCATTAGATTAAATTCTTAAAAGTGAACCTATATGAGTTTCAAAATCTGTGTGCCCAGGTGGCCAAGAAAGCCAATGGCATCCTGGCTTGTATCAGAAATAGTGTGGCCAGCAGAAGTAGGGAGGTGATTGTGCCCCTGTACTCAGCTCTGGTGAGGCCACAGCTGGAGTATTGTGTCCAGTTTTGGGCACCTCAATACAAGGAGATCTGGAGGTGCTGGAGCGAGTGCAGAGGAGGGCAACGGAGCTGGTGAAGGGCCTGGAGAATAAGTCTTATGAAGAGCGGCTGAAGGAGCTGGGACTGTTTAGTTTGAGGAAGAGGAGGCTGAGGGGAGACCTCATCACTCTCTACAACTACTTGAAAGGACACTGTAGAGAGGCTGGTGCTGGTCTCTTCTCACAGGTAATTAGTATAGAACAAGAGGGAATGGCTTCAAGCTGCAACAGGGTAGGTTTAGACTGGACATTAGAAAAAAATTCTTCACAGAAAGAGTGGTCAGACCCTGGAATAGGCTGCCCAGGGAGGTGGTTGAGTCACCGTCCCTGAATGTGTTTAAGAGTCATTTAGATGACTTTAGATGTGTTTAAGGGACATTTAGATGTGGTGTTGGGGGATATGGTGTAGGGGAGAATTTTGTAGAGTAGGGTTGATGGTTGGACTCGATCCTAACCTGAATGATTCTATGATCAGACTCCTCAAGACTTACATATGAAGCGTTATTTATTCTGTAAAATAATGCCTGCCATAGGAAGATTAGAGGAATTTTATAGCTTGGAAGCAATGGAGTTTTAATTATTCTTCTACCCTTGGTGTGGGAAACCAACATACACCAAGTTCTGTGTTGCTCAGGCTGAATAGCAAAGAGCAGCTGAATTAACATTAGTTTAGCACTAACTAGTTTAAAGTCAGCCTGAGTGTCTCCGGCCCATGCTTGGTAAAGGCTAGCCTTGCTTCTTGTCCTGTGACAGGACAGCACAGCAGAAATCACTGGACACGTCCGTTGCATTGCTCCTCACCCCCTGCTCTCCCTGCCCTGCCAATGCCAGAGAGCCACGGACGAGGGGACAGGGTTGGGGAGGGATGAACTCCTCCTTTCCTCCTTTGGTGAGAGGGGGTGCTTGCTCCTAGAAACAAGGGAGAAGGCTGTAATACTGCGGTCCTGTCAATCACTTTGGTATCATAAGACATTGCAGGACAAATGAGCCACCCTGTATCAGCAGTAGCTGGACCAAACTGAATACACTGAAAAGCTGGAGCCTAGTTTGTTCCAGTGCTACCTCTGATCTTTGTATGTGACAATAGATCTGATTTTATTAATTTGGGTCTCTGGTGCAGTAAAGTCTCTTCCAACTCTAGCTCTGTTTACTAAGCTTAGCTACTGAGGTTTTTTCATTGTCCTTTCCCATGAAATTCCAATGAAATAGACATTGTATTTTTGTTCAGTTAAAATAAGGATGGATTTGCCTCTTCAATTTAGGAATTGTGTTTTTCTCTTGCTGAAACTCTCTTATAAAACCTAATGAGCATGCTTGCTTTTTCCGCATTTGCTGTCCTTCTCCTTTCCCTGGCTGCCATTCTGGTGCATCAGCTGCTACGCTGTAAAGACTGCAGGCTTTAAGACAGCTTTTTTGTTTAGCCAGTATCTGTGCATGTCAGTTGTCACTGATTTATTCCAGTCTAAAGAAACCCGAACAAACCAACCCAGTCCTAAGAGCAGGAATGTGAAGATGCAGAGGAAAAGCATTGCTTAAGGGCCACAGTTATGAGAATCATAGAATTGTCTGGGTTGGAAGGGACCTTTAAGATCATCTAGTCCAACCATCAACCTAACTCTGATGAAAAAAAAAACCAAAAACCAAACAGAAGAAAACCATGCACAAGAACCCCCCACATCACTAAACTATGTCTCTAAGCACCATGTCAACCCATCTTTTGAAAACCTCCAGGGATGGTGCCTCAACCACTTTCTTGGGGAGCCCATTCCAATGCTTAATAACCCTTTCTGTGCAAAAATTTTTCCAAATATCCAACCTGAACCTTCTCCGGTGCAACTAGAGGCCATTTCCTTTTGTCCTATCACCTGTGACTTAAGAAGCAGCAGTTCCCCTCACAAAGCTGCTGCAGTTTTACAAAGGTGTGAGTCCATGACATCACCCCTGCGGCAGTTTTTTCCCATTCCCCAGTCACAAATTTACCCCTGCTTTCAAATCGCCACCTTCAAAACTCCCAGCCCACTCACTGCTGTGCAGCTGCCACAACACAGTTTGGATCAGGGGACGTTCCCTCTGCTGGTGCCTCCACATCACCCACCCCATTTGCATTGTTCCCTGGGGTCAGGGAGGGTAAAGGCAGAGAGGAAGCGTTGGTGTGAGGAAAGCAAAATGCTGAGGGATTTTAGTGGTGGTAAAGGTCTCGCCTCCTCTTCGTTTAAGCAGAAATGAGCACTCGTGGTGGTTTAACCCCAGGCAGCAGCTAGAACCATGCAGCCGCCTTCTCGCTCCCCCCGGTTCAGATGGGAGAGAAAATCAGAAGAAACTCGTGGGTTGAGATAAAAACAGCTTAATAGGTAGAGCAAAAGCCATGCACGCAAGCAAAGGAATTCATTCACTACTTCCATCAGCAGGCAGGTGTTTCATCACCAGGAAAGCAGGGCTCCATCACGAGTAATGGGATGGACAAACACCATCACTCTGAATGTCCTTCCCTTCCTCCTTCTTCCCCCAGCTTTATATACTGAGCACAACGTCATACAGCATGGAATATCCCTTTGGTCATTTGGGGTCAGGTCTCCCAGCTGTGTCTCCTCCCAACTTCTTGTGCCTCTCCAGCATTCTACTCGCTGGTGGGGTGGTGTGAAGAGGACAACAGGCCTTGAGTGCTTCCCAACAATGAAAAACACCAGTGCATTATCGCACTATTCCCATCCCAAATCTGAAACATAGCACTATACCAGCTGCTAGGAATAAAAAGTTAACTCCATCCCAACTGGAACCATGACAACACTTAAATACAGCAAGGACTGGGAGGAGGAATGATGTAGACCTCTGGAGGAAGCTGTAATCAGGTCAATGCACTCTTTCAAACTCAGCTGCTGTTTTAATGAAAGGAATGGTTATGACATTTCAGCCCTGAAGTATTCCTTCTGATATGCTCAGATATGCCTGTTGTTTTGAAACACTGTGAATGTACCTGATTTTGAATATCAGCTGTCTTTAGTAAAAAAAGCCTTCTTTTGGTCCTTTTGGATTTTTTTTTTTCCTTCCAACTATATTCTTCCCCAAAGAATGTGTGCATCTTGTAGCTTCACTTTCCTCAGTTCAAACCATCTCCTGGTGTAGTAACTGCTCTTCAAAGACTCTATTGCTTTTGTGGTATCTATAAACCCCTTAGTTTAACCACAGGGTGAAATTTTTAAATTTTATAACAAAGACCTTAATTTCTTCCCTAGTAGAGGTGTCAGCGTGTTTCTATCTTCCTTAATACTTAAACCCACTTCTGTTTATATGAGATAGTTTACTTTCCTTCTGTAAACTGAGAAAGTCCTTTCTTCCCCTTTCCAGAATCGCAGTGAAGGCTCATGCAGTTTCATTAACATTTTGCCTATTTTGCAGCATTCTGCAGGTTGTAGTCTCAACCTATTGAGCTAAACTAGAGGATAATTTTGAAAGGAAAGATTTTTTTTAAGTCTCCTCTCTTAATTTTGGGGAACATCTTAGCAAGGCAGAGCATCCCACTGAGAACCAAGCCTCCAGAAGTTCCCCCTCCGGTGGCCACTAATGCTTCTATTGGAAAAAAAAAACATAGATAAGAGGAAGAAATATGAGACGGATTCAGGAATTGAAATTTGGTTTCTCAAGGGCCTCTGCCTGGCTGATGGGGCATAACACAACTTCAGTACAGCTCCCTGCTTCGGTAGGCAAGACAGCGATTCTAGGAGATGAATTCTGGTAGAATTACACAAGTAACAGCCAAATAATAAACATGGGAAGATGTCTTCTGTTGGCTCTCCCCGTACAAGTGTAACTGTTCAAACGTCTGACTGAAACTTTCCTATTTGTCAAGTGAAAATATAGGCTGTGCACTTCTAGAAATAGTAATGAAACCTGGATGCAGTGGTTTTTTTATTTCCTTCTGGTTTAGCTGAGACTTTTAGTGTAGTGTTCAGTGTAGTGTTCCTTCTATGCTACAGTCCTTGGAACATAACAGACAATTGGTACCTGCCTTTTGTACAGGGGAAACAGAAAACCTGAGAGCTCCGTTTGAGGGCTCAGCAACAAGCCCAGGGATGATTGCTCTGGCTCTCTACTCTGCCCTTTTCTCCTACTCGGGATGGGACACGCTCAACTACGTCACCGAGGAAATGCAGAACCCCCAGAGGTAAACGGGTGCTTTCCCTTTGCATTGCTGGAGTGTCCTGGTAAGACAGGTGATGGAAGGACAAGCCACTCTGTATTTGTTTCTGATTGGAAATTAGTCAAAGTAATTTTTTCCTGCAAAAACCTTCTTCTTTTCCTGAGAAGCAGTAAGTATACAAACTCTTCCTGATTATTGTTGTCTCTCATCAATCGTGTCACACTCATAAATCATATATGTATTTTAAACCTTCTGCTTTAGGCCAGAATTTTTAAAGAAGGAAAACAAATCCCTGCTGAAAGCAGGGAAAAACATGGGTCCATCTAGCTCTCTAAAATTCCCTATTTCTTTTCAGTCAGATAGAACAGTGATTTTATTTTCCACCAGTGGAGTCAGACTGTTTCAGGTTTCAGACGGTTTTATCATGTGATCTCCAGCATTACTGTCTATGGGGAAAAAAAAATTTAATTTTACTGAAGATGAAAGGTTAAGTAAAAAATAAAGAAGTCCAGAGTAGCACTGGAAATACAATCTCCTCCCCTCTGTAGGGATGTCCACCCCATGGGAGTGGTGTGGCTCACCTACTCAGACTGAGTCTGCCTTGTCTTGGGACATACGTAGGTTACGAGTCAGGAAAAAATATGCTACCATCAAGAAACCTAAGTGGTTTAAATCTCATTGCTTAAGTGCTTTCTTAAATTGCTTCATAGAAAAGACAGTACAAAAAATTTACAGGTATAAATGTACATTTTTTTTCTCTGTAACTTGTGACAGACCCACAAGCAGCCGACTAAGCTGCTTCTGGAATTGTTCCACACTTGGCTGCACATTACTTTGTAACCCCATAATGACAAAATGATGAATGACAAAAAGCGATGGAGTTATCCAGTCACAAATGTTTGAATTTGGAACAATCTTTTATTTAAATATCCCTTATTTAGAGAATGTGACATAATTTTGCCATTTTCCTCTTGCAGGAATCTACCTCTTTCTATTGCCATTTCAATGCCTATTGTGACTATTATTTACTTACTGACTAATATAGCATACTACATAGTGCTGGACATGTCAGCTCTCCTCACAAGTGATGCAGTGGCTGTGGTAAGCTGTGTATAAAACTTAAACCAAAAGTCTGGATGTCAACCAAGTATGGATGACATCACGGAAGAATCCCGGTTAGCATACTTCTTGGCAAAGCAATTGAATTTTTTCCATGCTGAAGGTTGCTGCTTTGTTTTTCTGTAAGAGTACCAGTATATTAGAAGGTGCATATAAAGAATATATCCAATAAATCTGCTCTTGTAAAATCCTCTTATATACTCTGTAAATCCTAACTGCACTTCATTGTGGAAGATGCTTTTGCCAGGGCCAGAGCTACAGAAAGTCTGAGTGGTTTAAAAACCAGGGGGTTTTGCTATCATTCTACTGTACAGTGTGTGATGTTTAATGCTGCAGGATCACAGCAATATTTTCAACACAAAAATGCGCAGTGAAATGCGTTTTTTAAAACCTTATCAATATTTTACATGAGAGTACAACTATATCTCATGGATTGCTACAGTCGGGATTTGTCAGATTACATTGAAGCCAATACATAGTCTTCTATTATCTCATTGACTTGATCTAGGCTAGAATATATTTTTTAAATCTTTTTAAAATGTATCTGCCATTTTTATTTTTGATATTGATCAGTTTTTTCAAATTCTAATTTCCCAAGTTGTCATTGGGTGCCATAAGAAAGCAGGGGGTATGACAATATATTTGAGCTGGTGTGTTTTCATGAGAGTTTCTCGGGATTGTCCATATGCTTAATGTTACCAGCCTCACTATTATTTTCTTTTTCTGTTACAGACATTTGGCAGTGAAACCCTTAGTTACGCTAAGTGGATAATTCCTATAGCAGTGGCCATGTCTTGTTATAGTGGCTTAAACTCATCAATAATTGCAGCATCTAGGTATGAAATATAAGATTTATTTTAAGTAATTGAAAATAAATAATTTATTATCAATCTGTATTCTTTACTAATGCATTGTCAAAGTAGAAAATGTAAACGTAAAACTGACACGGTTAATTTTTGCTGTGTCGGGTTGTACATTTATGATGGAAGGATTGTTATGGTCTGACGTGTCTTCTCATGATCAGCACCAATGGATAAACTCAAGTGCTGCTCAGTTGAGATGAGAGCAGCATTTGCAACAGAGTAATAAAAGAATTAATCACAGAATCACAGAATCGTCATGGTTGGACAGGACCTCTGAGATTACTGAGTCCAAACACACACACACAAAAGACCCCTACAGTCTCGGGCACTAGAGCATGCCCTGAAGAGCCACGTCTACACATTTCTTCAGTACCACCAGGGGTGGTGACTCCACCACCTCCCTGGGCAGGCTGTGCAAGCCCCTGACCACTCTCTCAAGATAGTAATTCTTCCCAATATCTAATCTAAACCTCCCCTGCCCCAACTTCAGACCATTTCCTCTGCTCCTGTCATTATTCCCTTGGTAGAAGAGGCCAACCCCCACCTTTCTACACCCTCTATAACTACCTGAAAGGAGGGCAATGAGGTCTCCCCTCAGCCTCTTCTTCAAACTAAACATGCCCAGGATGCTGCCTTTGTCCTCGGCACACTGCTTGGTTGAGTTTTCTTGTTCTCTTTTCCAGGCTTTTTTACGTTGGAGCCAGGGAAGGACACCTCCCTGACAGTCTGAGCCTGATCCACGTAAAGCGCTTCACCCCGGTCCCTGCTCTCCTCTTCAATGTAAGCCACGGGTCGGGGCAGCTGGGGGTGTGATGTGGGAAGTATTAACACCTCGCCTCTGCCTGGGCTTTCCCCTGGGATTCTCCTGCGCTGGGGACATCTCCCTCAAGTGCCCACAATTTCTAAAACTCATTGAGGGCACTGGTGGTGATACTATAGAATCATAGAATCATTGAGGTTGGAAGAGACTCTTGGGATCATCGAGTCCAACCATCTCCCCTACTCTACAAAGTCCTCCCCTACACCATATCCCTCAGTACCGCATCTAAACGTCCCTTAAACACAGCCAGGGATGGTGACTCCACCCCTTCCCTGGGCAGCCTGTTCCAATGCCCGACCACTCTTTCAGTGAAAAATTCCTTCCTAATGTTCAATCTAAACCTACCCTGTTGGGTAGACAGACCTATGTCTGGTGGGGGGTTTTTTTCGGTGGAAGGAGAACGGCTTGAGTCACATTCATACGTTCTCTGAACAAGATTAGTGAGAAATACAATAGCATTACTTCGAAAACAGAGAATGGCTAAATATGTAACAGTATAGACATGAGTTTCTTAAGTCTTTACATCATCTTTCAGAGTGTCACTGGAGAAGAATGTGGCAGGAACATCTCTCAGACCCTGCCGCAGGCTGATTTTCTAGGACTCTAGTTATAAAGGGAGTGACAAAGCACTTAAAATTAAATTCCTACCATTGGATGCCTATGGCCATATTGACTTTTTCCTGCTGTCACCGTACAAACGAATCTTGTGACACAAAATCGAGGAACCATAAACTATAGAATTAGTGGAAATTATTTTAATAAATAATCCATAAATCTAACAGGTTAAAATAAAAGGGAGGATATGCACAAGCAGAGAAGGTGGAATCATTAAAAAGCATTACATTGCTGTTTATTTGAATGTGTATTTTATTTGGTGTCTTCCACTGTTCTGTGTTACATATGGCTTAGGAACAGATTATCATACAGGTCCAATTTGACATGAAATAGTTTACTGAAAGTTATAATGTCATTATGAATACTCTTCTCTGACAGATTCTGTTTGCACCAGTAACATGAGTTTAATACACCACCATTCATGTTTTTCACACTGGAAATTTTTTTCTGTTCATCTGCTAAAACAGACATTAAATTCCTGGCATTTTAGGTCTTCCCATGCAGGCATCCCTGCGTACCACAGAATTTATTGGTCTCGATGTACGAGTGGACTGTGAGAGCCTCCAACTGTGAAACCAAATTAAAAGCTTGTTTTTTGACTGAAGCTGACCAGAAGAGCAGAGGAAGCTGCTGCCTGCAGAAAGCTTCTTAGCAGCTTTCTTAGGAGGGTTTCCTGCTGATGCCGAAACCTCACTTTGCAAACCTGGCACCACTCCAGATAAATGTGGTGGTCTCACTGCTGTGTTTAAGGAAGGGATACCAGCCTGTTTCACACAGCACGTTTGCAGATTTCTCAGACTTTAAAGTACATCTTTCTTGTAAAGAATTGACCTCCTAACTCCAGGCAAATACGTTGGAAACAGGCTGTTTTATAACTTTGCTACCTCTTTATTTTGTAAGACATGTCTTTACTTTCACATTAAAAAGTCTTTGTTTTTATTATCTCCAGGGCTTAATGACTTTGCTTTATCTCCTGGTGGAAGATGTTTTCCTCCTCATTAATTACTACTGCTTCAACTACTGGCTCTTTGTGGGTCTGTCTATTGCAGGACTGATATATTTGAGATATAGTCAGCCACACAGACCACGGCCTATTAAAGTAAGTAAACGGGAGAGGAAACGAGCCCTAAAAGCCAGCTAATGCACATGCTTATGTGATCCTTAATACAACAACCACAACATTACTAGTTATGTTATAGACTATGTATCAGCCATAGAAATAGTGTCAACATAGAAGAAATGAAGGAGCAAAACCCATTTGAGTTTCCACAAGAACGTCTGTTCTGGTACTTTTACTGTGTGGTTGAAATGATATTTACCATTTCTTTTTCAGAGAATCATAGAGTTGTCTAGGTTGTAAGGGACCTTAAAGACCATTGAGTTCAACCATCAACCAAACAGTGCCAAAACCACCACTAAACCATGTCCCTCAGCACCATGTCTACCTGTCTTTTAAATACCTCATGGGATGGTAATTCCACCACTTCTCTGGGCAGCCTGTTCCAATGTTCAATAATTTTTTCAGTGAATAATTTTTTTCTACCTTTTAACTATCTTTATTTCAAAATAAACAAGAAATAAATAAATGTCTGGGGTTCTTAGCCTCTTCTGGAAGAACCCCGTTTTGTATTGCTCACAGTGGACCTCAGTAGAGCTAGTGATGGGGACTCCAGAGAATTCAACACCCTGATCAAACTTACATGACATAACAAATTCAGCAAAGTTCCTTCAAAGCCCAAAAATGCTCGATTTTCTGCTCATGCAGAAGATCAAAATTTTAAATAATCAAGTGTATCCTGAGCGTTCTGTCTCACTGCATAGTGGTCACAGACAGTAAAATGCAAGTTTAATGACTGATTGCAGACGCGCGTCTGGCTCTCAGTTAGGAGAGGGAGACTGCACAGAAACAAAGCCTGCCTAAAACTACTTTCTAGTTTTAATCCAGTGATTGTCCAGAAAGCAGGGACGGAAACCCAGAGCTTCCCCCAGGCACAGAAAACCATGTGCTGGCTCCCGTCTCCCTGCGCTCTGTTGGCTCTGTGACCGGCATTTCAGCTCGGCAGTAATGCAGTAAAAATTATGAGAAATCCAACTTAACAACCTATGTAAATATTTCTTCCTTGTCGCTCACTCTTCCTAACCTCCCACACCATTTTTTTAACCACACTTTATTTTTTCCCATTCGAGCATAAAATCGTGATTATAAAAAGCACGGTTCAAACGAAGGAGTAAAATATCCGAAGCACCTACTGTTTAGAAAACTTTCCATTCTTCCAGAGCAGACCAAATTTTCCTGAAGCATGTTCACATTTCATTTCCAAACTCTCCCCCCAAATATGTGGAAGATAAAGATTAAATCTTGCCTTATTGGCAGTTTTTCTATTGACTCTACTAAAGCAAGGATTACAGTCAGATTATAGATAATGACTGTTTAATTCCTATCAGCATTTGCCAGCAGAGCCAGCGTCACAACTGCGCATACACATTTTTCTTTTCTGAAACATAGCAGTTGGTTTTTATCAACATATATTTTTTACCTTTATAAGGGAAAAAGAAACATTTATACCAGTAAACTCTCAGGATTTTCTGCTAGTATTCAAATGTCAGCTCCTGGACTCTTGAGGAGGCTCATTACTACTAATGAAAAATACCTTGGTGAAAAATAAAATATCTTTGTGTAAAAAAAAAGCCTCTTTATGGAAAGAGGTTATTGCAACTTTCCTTATTTGTAGTATACTTGTTAAGTGTGCGGGCAAAATGGTTGTACCTAAGTCTGTTAATTCTGTAGTATCAACACAGTAACTGAAAGTCCAGTTGAGTTAGTGCCCAATCAAACTCACAATTAAAAATTTGCAGTTGAAGTTTGAGGGAAAACTAGCCGTTGCTGCTCAGTTTTAAAGGAGTGTTTTCTAAGATTGAGCTCTTACTAATGTGGAAAAGAACTAGGCTTGTGCAGGCCTGAAAAGAACAAAATGGTCAGAGATTCAGGTATGCACCAGGTAGGAGGCTCTCAGCAGCACACATAGAAGCAGGCAAATTGCACTGACTGTGGGCAGTCAAAAGATTCGGTAGACAGTAGTTGATAGATATATTTTATTACTGACTTGTCTAATGTTAATCTCCAAAGCCTGAAAACAGAATACGTTCTGCATCTTTTAGTAAATGTTGGAATTATTTATTTATTTATTTATTTTTGTCTCCACAGCTTAACCTCTTCTTCCCTATAGTATACTGTTTATGTTCCCTTTTCCTGGTCATAGTTCCTCTCTACAGCGACACAATCAATTCCCTTATTGGTATTGGTATTGCCCTCTCAGGCGTTCCTGCATATTATTTGGGTGTCTATCTGCCTGTTGAAAAACGACCAAAATGTCTACAGTGGCTCTCCGGTAAGCAATATCATCTTGCCCTAGCCAATGCACCAAAATCTCCAATGCTTGGTCAGAAGACAGAAAGAATAATTCTTCCTAGAATCCTTTTTCTTTATGAAGTTTTACTACAGCACACCCAAGATCATTTGCTTCATCGCATGGGCCTGAAAATAAAACCTTGCATACCTGTACAAAACAGTCCAGTATGTGGATATATATGGTCTCCTAATATTTGTGGTGTTGAGCCATTTCAAGATGTTGACTAAATAAAAGCTGTGTAGGACTGTGAATACTAAATGCATGCAGTTGGATGCCCTGGAAGGCAGAAGTGCCAGGACACCATTGCTTCACTTTCTTCCCACGGAGTGGAACATCTCAGTCAAAGAAGCCCATGACTTTTCATAAATTATGAAATGATTAATTATTGGCCTGAAGGGCAGTTTTCACTCCTCAAATTCATGCAGTCTTGAAAAGCAAAACTTTCATAATTTTATTCAGATTGAACTCAGCTATCAATCTGGTGATTCAATTAAAATGTTGATGAAAGTCCGATTGAATGAGACTTTCTGTTTAATTATTGGGCTCCTTTTTGCCTATTTACCTATTTATAACGTGCTTAATCCAACTGATCAAGGTGTTTTAAGATTCTCCTAATATCTATGTAGTTCTTTCCAATCCTCAAAATCCATACATTTGTCTAAGATATAATATAACTTTGTCTCACACATTTTTGCTATGTATTACAGCTACAACAACAAAATACGTTCAGATGCTCTTCTACTGTGCTCTGTCAGACCTGGACATAGAAATGGAACCTACAGCAGCCAAAAGTCAATAGAGTCGCCTTGACATGGAGAGTTGTGCCTTGATATTTCCCATCTGGAGCAATTTTTGTCATCTGAAGTTCCCCTCACATGTTCAGTTGTACTAAAGCAGTAACCACTGTACTATGCATCAGTTTGATGTCTGTTAATTTGTGGCCCTTTTATAAACCCTTCTGTTTTACAGTATTTTTTAATTTTTAAAAAAAATTATCTTAAAAAAATATTTTTTTAATTTTTTTTTAAATTGTTAATAGTGAGTTATCACGTAACTTTGAAACTATAAAGCGTTGTATGAACAAACATTTATTAGTAGATAAGTGCTAAATATTACATTAATTGCAAAATTGTAATAAAGAGCATTAGGTCTAGTCACAATCCTAAGAAATAAATTGATACATTTAACAAAAGTCAGAGCAGATATTTGCAAGGTTCAAAGCCTAAACTGGGAAGTAGAAGCCACAGTGTACTTCTAAAAATGTAACTAAATTCTTAGCAAAAATAAAAACTATATAATTGAAACTGGTAGATGTGCTTTGAGTCAATGTAGTGTTAGTGGTAAACTATTCTAATGCATAATTCCTGGCATACATACTGTACCAAAAGGAGAAAACAAAAGGTTTTGGTCATTTAAATTCTGTTAGAAATTCTTCTTTTACAATATCCCACATTTATTACCCTTTTGCAGAAGAGGTATTTTCAACAAACAAATTAAAGCATCGTAAACGAAGTACTTTTGCTTTCCGGAATGACCTGCAGGGCTGGAGCACTGCAAGGGACTGTGTCCCCTTCCAGCCAGAACATATTCAGGGAAAACACTTCACCTTCTCATAGTGTCCATTGCTTGCCTAGAAATACCAAAAGTGGGACCCCGTGAATCATACTGATTTTTTCCATGGTGGAATTTGTTTAAGGCATTCACAAGGAGAAGTGAAAAACCATTGATTTTGTAAAATCCCTTGAGACCCTTCCCAGCCCTTCAGGCTCACCAGTTCCTGTGGGCCAGGTGACCTGCAGGTCTTCTACTGAGCACGCAGAGAGCCTCCAGCACCGGCTGCCAGCTCTTCAATGCCATGTTGGAGCCCGTTGCACAACGCCCAACACAGGCACATCAGGTTTGAACACAAAGAAGTTTTTCAACGTGCAACTAGTCCTAATTCTCTGTCTCCTGAAACGGAGGGGGCAGTAACTGTCATTAAAAAATTGCCATCAGCCTTGCAACCTAGACCACAAAAAACAGCTGCTCCAGCTCCACTGTGGTTTGTTGATGTGATGAAGTCCCATTTGTTATCCTTGTTAGGAAGTCGTGCTTCCTTTCTGTAATTATATTTGAATATAACATACATTGTTTGGAATTTGAGTTTCATTATTCCCGTTCAATTAACCCCAATTAAGGTGATTTAATCGTATACCAGTCCCTGTGGCTCCTAGCATTATTGTCTTTTATTGATGTCTCCCCAGCGAAAGAGCAGTGGCACAGGGAAGAAGGCAATCATTGCTCCTTAAACCTCTCTCCATTCCCTCCTGGCATTGTAAGGTCATTTGCAAGATGATAATTTCAAGCATCTCCAACACAATGTTTGCTGATGGGGCATCCCGTGAAACCTTTCATTTGCATTTCAATGCCATCTGCTGTGGCAGTTCCCTTTCAGCCGGGTTTTCTTTCGATACAAAGTATGAACAATAAAAATGCACTAAATTAAGGTAAACGCGAAGGCATTAGAGATGCCTGTTTTGCTTTTTGGAAAGCACAGCTTCCGAGCACTAAAATCACTTAAATATCACAATCACAAAACACGAGGAGGAAAGAAGACCTAGGGTGTAGTTCCATTTGCCCAGCTCAGAACATCTCTTCGCACACACAACTCATGCCTCTGTTATCAGTATAGCACCGTTTTGATCCTGCTCTACGAGTGTACAGAAATACTGCGTTTTTCACCCCATTTCTTACACAGCACCGGTTAACGATAGAGCTGTGGTCGCAGACTGTATCGGGGCACGGAGAGAGTACAGGGAGCTGGGGTTGTTCAGCCTGGAGAAGAGGAGGCTCCGGGGGGACCTAATAGTGGCCTTCCAGTACCTGAGGGGGGCCTACAGGAAGGCTGGGGAGAACCTGTTTAGAAAGGCCTGCAGTGACAGGACGAGGGGAAATGGCTTTAAACTGGAGGGGAACAGATTTAGACTGGAGATGAGGAGAGGGTTCTTCACTGTGAGGGGGGTGGAGCTCTGGAACAGGTTGCCCAGGGAGGTGGTTGAGGCCCCATCCCTGGAGATATTCAAGGTGAGGCTCGATGAGGCCCTGGGCAACCTGGTCTAGTTGGGGGTGTCCCTGCTGACTGCGGGGAGGTTGGACTAGATGGCCTTTGGAGGTCCCTTCTGGCCTGGGCAATTCTATGATTCTATGAAACCCTGCAGGTCGGTACCAAACTGGCCCCACAGAGTTTATAAGTCGTGCTTGGTGCTGAGCTGTGTGTCACCCTACCATCCTCTGAAGCTTTTCCTTGCAGGACCAACGTTCCTAAGTGATTTGAGACACCTGAGGTGACATCTCAGGGGGTAACAGACAGCAGACACTAGAGGTAGGATAATAAGGGCTACAGACTAAGACCATTTCCACAGAGAATTCAGAGCTGAGAAAATTCTTTGTCTGTTTTTTGGGTTGGTTTTTTTTTTTTTTTTGCATTAATCTGTTAACTTTCTGGCCACGACACAGAGGCCTTCACTTTCTGTCTTTCTGGAAAGAAAGAAACTAGTAGCCAGATGCAAGGTCATAAATGTGAATAATGTTACTGAAATTCTCTATGGGCGGTGGAATCTCAGAACTGTTAATGTGTTTGTTCTTTTTCGCTCCTTACAAATACTACATGTAAGTTATTGTGAAATACCTAAAGCAAGTCGTAGATGCTGACGTATTTAAATAAATAAACATTTAATCCGTGGCAAATGCTACAGTCATGTGGTTTCAAAGCACAAAAATAGTTATTATGAATGAAATTTGCCCTGACTTACATCCTGCAAGTTAGTTTTCCAGGAAAGCGATGAGACTTTAACTTTTATTCATTTTCTCTATAACACAACAAAATAAGCATTTATGGAAGGAAAAAATTCTGATTACTCCAGGTGGGACTCTCTCTCAATGCAGTTATTAGCAATTCTTTACCCAAACTCTCTTGTTCTAAGGATAAACACATCTGTTTACACTATTCACTGATGGTCAATTATGCAGTCAAACAATAAACACTATTTTAGAGACAACCTTGGCATCCAGGCTAAGTATCCCATCATTACATGAGAAAACATAAGGAGGAGGCTGTTTGATGTCTAGTTTGTCAGTTGGCATCTCTGTGGCAGAAGGGAGTGGGGTGTGGATAACACGGGATCTTATCAATTCTTATAAATATCTAAAGGGTGGTCATCAAGAGGATGGGGCCAGACTCTTCTCAGTGGTGCCCGGTGACATGATCGGAACATGGGTATGGGAAATTCCATCTCAACATAAAGAAAAACTTCTTCACTTTGAGGATGGTAGAGTCCTGGAACAGGCTGCCCAGAGAGGTTGTGGAGTCTCCTTCTCTGGAGATACTCAAAACCTGCCTGGACACATTCCTGTCCAGCCTGCTGTAGGTGAACCTGCTTTGGCTGGGGGGTTGGGCTGGATGATCTCTGAAGGTCCCTTCCAGCCCCTACCATTCTGTGATTCTATGGGAAGCCTTTGGAAGATGAAGCCCATGGAGGTGGGGGCTGTGTTGCAGTGTGTCACGGGAACCCGACAGGCTGCAGGGACAAGAGACCCTGGAGAAGACCTCACCCACAGAGATGGGGAAGGATCTTCCAGGGCCAAAAGCTGGGGCAATACAGCACTTGTGAGTAGTTCTAGCTCTTCTTTAGGAACCAAGAAAATACAGGTTTCTTGCTTTTATGAAGAATCACAGTTCTTCAAATAAAAACAGGAGAGTTGGTATCAGATTCATTTCTGTGTCAGCAAAGGAAAAATGAAGTTGGTGTTGACAGAGGAAAGACTATCAGCCACAGAAAATCTGAAGGTGCCTGGGCTTTGCATGAGCCTGAAGAGCCGTAAAGGTGGTTCTGTGCTCCCTGGCCTCAGAGGTGAAGAAACACCTTCACACATCAGGCAGGATGAGGACACTGGGTTGTGAAACAACCTGAGAGATGCACTGGGCCAGGTCACAGCTCTGTTACAGGACGAGGTGCCTTCAGCACGTGTGTGACTTGAAACCAAAGACGCTTCCTAAAGCTCTCCTCTTGACATTCACCTTCATTGTGTAACAGGAACTTTAGAAGCATTGTTGCACAATCTTTGAATCTGCAGCACCAGATCTGTCAACTCCCTGGTCTCTAACTGATAAGCTATCAGGTTTTGTAAATCTTCCCTTTTTTTTTTTTTTTTTTTTTTTTTTTTTTTTTTTTTTTTCTGCAGGATTGATTTTTGACTTAGGAGGAGTGGCAGCCAAGCAACTATGTGAAGTGCTATAATTTGCAAGTGGGTGAAAAAGCTCTAAAATTTTAAAAAAAGGAGGAAAATAAAATGCAAACCTCAACAAGCTCCCTGGAAGTGTTCAAGGCCAGGCTGGATGGGGCTTTGAGCAACCTGGTCTGGTGGGAGGTGTCCCTGCCCAGGGCAGGGGGGTTGGAACTTGATGACCTTTAAGGTCCCTTCCAACCCAAACCATTCTATGATTCTAAGATGCTGCACAATAATGGGACAATAACTTCTTTGACTTGTACATCAGGAACTTGGATTATAACCACCAGAAATTAGAAGTGCTTATTTAGGAACGCACATATAATGTAATGGATGTCACTGGCAAACGTGAGAGACGAATGGGCTACAGAAATGTCTGGTTATTACCTACATAGAAAGGTCAGGATTAGATTCAAAGGAAGGGAGTGAGATTTGGTTTACACAATCACAGTTTTGAAACAGGAAAGGTCAACATTAAAGCAAATGATTGTGAGTCGATGCTTTTCTAGCAGGAAGAATAAATGAGAATTAATTGACCCATGCTACAATTCAATAAAGCATACAGTACAAAATTACTAAGTGTTTAAAAAGCTGGTCACCCAAAACGTGTGTGTCAAGTGATGGAACTGAATGCACTTCAGCATAAGAACAGAACAAAGATTAATTCAGCAATATATTTACTTAGTGCTCAGAAACGTTCATTTCACAGAGCCAAAATCAACTGTGAGCCACACCTGCCGGAGGGAGGGCAAAGAGAGTATAAATTGGAAGAAAAACTGCTTGGGGCTGTTTAAGAACATCCTATCTACACGCAGAGACCAGGAAAAAAAAAAAAAGAAAGAAAAAAAAGGAACATGCTCTAGCTTAAAACTGTAATAAATCTTCCCTCTTTAGAGGGGAAGTGCAAAGAGTGATTTAGAAATAGAAAAAAGGCAAATTTGGTGGTAATGACCGTAAGTTCAAGACAAGCTCCTGAACAAGACGCCTGACCAATTTAGATGTGCTTCTGTAATAGCACAAAATAAGAATTTCAGAACTTGGTTGCAATTATAGAGTATGTGCTTGGGTCAAAATATGCTCACTATGATGATATTACCTTATTTCTGATTAGCCATCGCTCTTCTCCATGCAACGCCATCACCTAAGGAAAGCCCCCAAATTAAATTCACCTTTCTCTTGCTGTCTTCGGAGTTAGGTCCTGTCTGGCTCAGCATGTCATGGAAGCAGAATTTAAAATTTCCAGTGGAGTTTACATTGGCCTCCACGAGAGGGAGAACTCCTTTGAATAATGAAGAAAAAAGAGAGCCTGTTGTTTCGAGAGCTTCTGCTTAGCTCCAGTGAAGAGTATCAGCTATATATTCTGAATAATGCTGTATAACTGCCGGCTGCAAACTCCAATGAAGATGAGGTTGAAGTAGGAACATTCATCTTTCCTTACAGGATTGCCTTCAGGTCTGTAGCAGAAGACAGATTTTTCTCATCCTGGCTGTTTCCTATATATAACAGCATATATGAATACCTAATTCAAAAGGACGATGAACACCCTTTTCAGAACTTCCACATTAAGCATAAATAATAAACAAGCTAATAATATCTAAATTAATTACCTATTTTATGGTAAGAAATGAACTATTTTATGGAAATTAAAAAAACCTGTTCTATTTGAACGTCTGAGCAGTTCTCTGTCCTCATACCTCCCTTCTTCCTTCTTCATCTTTTTTTTTTTCAGATAAAACTTGTGAAATCTCCAAGTTTCTCTGCTATTTAGCAGTGAAGAGCTATATAAAGACATCCTTTGGGAAGTACAGCACTTGGGTCAAATCAGTTGCCTGCTGATCTCCTGCCAATATGATGTCAGCACATGGGTAGCTACAGCCTTTGTTCTATGTTTGTTATTTTTCCATATCATTCTGTTGAATTCACTTCTGCTTTAACGGCCTCCTAATCACCTCTCTCTGCCAACTTCATGGAATACCAAGCCATCCGTGCCTTTCATCTCAGCTTACGATATCCATCTGCTGCCAGTAATTCTCTCAATACACTGAGGTACTCTGAATTAGCTCCTGCCAGGAATAGCTGCAAGTGAATAACATGCACAGGATGGGCAAGATCTCTGTAAGCAGTTGCCAGCAAAAGGCAGCAAGTGGATAAGGTTAAGCAGGTTTCATATTCCTTTCTTCATTTTGCTAATTTTTCTCTCAGGCAGAGCACCCGTATGAGTTGTAG